CGACCGGGATTCTAGCTAAGATGCATAAAGCCATTCGAACCTACCTTTAACGAGCTTACCGTTCGGTCACTGGAGGGAGGAGCCTATTTGCACTTTTTTATAACTCTGTATTCATAGAATATCTATTCATTATAGTATCTTAAATTTTAGAGATATATTCATTTATATTGCAATTTTGTAATCTGGTTTGCTTGATACATAATTGGAAGAAAAATGCTTCGATTCTCCCCCTTCTGCGTTTAACCAGAGAAGAGAATCAATAGTTATAAAATAGTATTGAAATCGTCGTCAATGATAATGTATGAATGAATTTTTTTATCTTCAATAAAGTCAATAAGTTTTTCTTTCTTATCATAAAAGGCCATTTACTTTTAATAAATATGAAGTGAGTGCTTTTTTATTAAGATATATTTGACGAACTTTAAAATTACTTTAGACGTCTTTAAAATACTAAGTATTCTGCATATAAGATGTTAGCTTGTAATTTGAAACTATGCAAAAATTTGAATACAGTATATACTATTGTAAAGTTGTGTGTTGTTTCTTTGTATTTTGAAAAAACGTATTTGCATGTGTGACGCGTAAATCAAAGATGCAAACCTGGAGCTCCATTTAAACTGTTCTAAGGGTTTCGCAAGTCAAAATAATTTACAGAAAGTATCGAATGTCACGTGATCTGTAATGCTAAACATCGATTAAAATTAATTAAATATTTGTTTTAAAATTTCTTCTGTTGTTTTCCAAAGTAAATAAAATAGATCTGTTTTAATTAAAATTAAAACGAAAAATAAATTATAATTTATATAAGCTATAAATTAAAATTAAATTATAACATAAGAAAAATACAAAGTAAGAAAATAAGAGTAAAATTACAATGAAATGAGACTTACTTTCCATGTAAAGTGTCCGCAATATTATAATATTTGTTCATTTCGTCTTTTAGCATTAACTTCGCTATCACTTCGGGAGAGGGGGGAAGTTTTGAACATTCTTCCTGAGTTGGAAATGTTCACTGGTGTATATAAAATTTAAAATCATAGGTCGTGTGATTCAGGTAAAAAGAAAGCGTGCTTTTCTTGTTAACATATAGTTGTTATGTTTTCACTTACCTCTTGAATAACAGATGGCGACACTGTTTTTTTTTTTAAATATGTAATGATCTGAAAGCAATTTTTCACAACAAAAAAAAAAAAAAAAAAAAAACCCGAATAGAACGAATAACAACGAATAAATGTTGGAACTACTATATTTCCGTCAATTTGTGATTCCACTTTCGGTTCCGGATTTCATTTAAATCCAGCTCTCCTTTTTTTATGAATTTCGTCCTCGCGGTCGGAGGATTAAAAAGTCTTTCTTTTTATATTTTTAGTGCATTACTTGAAAAGTTTTTAAATATATTTTATTAATGTATTGTCAGAAAAATACCGAAATAGTTTTATTATGTACATGTCAGATTTATTGGTATTATTATTTTATTTTGATTTATAAAATTGACTTTGTGGCAAAAATAAAATAAGTACGATTAAACTTTTCATATTTATTGTAATAAAAACAGTGATTAATAAATCTTTAATGGCACATTGGTGCTGTGTGCTATATTATTTATTTTCTATAAATATGATGAAAAACTGAATTTTGCTGTATGCACCCCCCCAACCACCACCACCATCAGACGCAGACTAGAGGTGAGTAAAAACGCTATTTTATGGGATCAGATCGGAACCTTTCATTCGCTGAACTAAATTGGTTCTATTTTATGACTCGGTGTTCAATAACAATAACCTTGATGAATTAGATCGCGAACGACAGCGGTGAGCGAATTTGCACGAAAACCCGAAATAATCGAATGAGCAGTGGGATTAAAAATGGCATTGCAAATATATGGTATAAAATAGGGTCGGTCCTCGCACCCAACGTCATTTTCTACCGTTGATTGCCGGGAGACTTGCAGGTTATACGAACCACGAAATTTTCAGGGCGATGGATTAGTCGAGGTGGTCCCCAGAATTTTTAGAAGTCTTTTTAGCTCGGCATCTGAACCAACGAAATTTCTTCCATTGTCAGTGAAAATCTTAGAAGCCTTGCCTCGCCTAGAAAAATATCTTTTCAAACTAGCAATGACACCTGTTGATATTAAATCACTCACAAAGTCTAGGTGTATTGCTTTAGTACAAAAACATACATAACTTGTTACATATATCTTATTCAATACCCCCTTTTTTTGTCCTTCGAATTTCACGTAAAAGGGTTCGCAAAAATCTATGCCAGTAACCGAAAATGGAGGAGAAAGTTCTATGCGTTCCTTATGCAGTTGGCCCATCAGTTGTTGCTCTACAACTGGTTTGTTCTTTGGACACGTAAGACAATTGTGTATCACCAATCTGCAACTCCTTTTGTTAACGGCCAATATTTGCCGTATAGGTACAAAAGTCTATCCGTATCCCGTAATCAAATATTTAAATGAAAATTACAATCTAAATGTTTTTAGAGGACGTTATGTAAGGATGTTTAATGTTATCGTGAACACTAGGATTGAGTATTAACTAAACTCAAACTCGAAGCCCATTTTATCAAAAAAACAATTAAGAGAAGCTAATTTACTTTTACTTTTAACATTCTCACCTTTCATTAAGGCAGAACTTTATAACGGCTACAGAGAAATACTGAATGATTATGAAACTGGGCGTATCATCGAAAAGGTTCCAAAGGACAAGGTAGAAGGTGATAAGCCCTTATTTTATCTACCATTTTCAACGGTTTACAGAGACCTCCGTCAGTTCCTAGAAACGAATCGTTTTTGATGCCAGTGCGCATGAACAGGGTGAACTTTCTCTGAATGATTGTTTATACGCTGGACTTGATATTCAACATGCTGCTGGACTTAGCCTTAACCGTCTAATATTCAACATGCTTGTCTTCTTCCGTTTGAATGCGGTGGTCGTCTTAGCAGATATCGAGAAAGCGTTTTTGCAGATATCTTTGCATGAAAAGGATCGAAATGCAGTCCGATTTCTGTTTCCAAGTAAAACCCAGGTACAAATGAACATTATGATATCCAGATTTTCAGATTTTGCCGTGTTCTGTTTGGCGTCAACGCCAGTCTTTTCTTCCTGTCTGTCACCATTAAAGAACACATCGAAGAGTTTCGAGAGTTTCATCCCGCGGCGGTGGAAATGCTCGATAGAAGTCTATATGTCGACGATTTTGTTGGAGCTCTCGACAACGTCTCATCTGCCTTTCAGATGTCGTGTGAAGCCAAAAGGATTATGGCTGACGCAGGAATGAATTTATGTAAGTGGAGTTTCAACAGCAAGGGACTGTTACAAATATGGGAAGACAATTGGTTCAAGATCCATCCCGTTCATTCAGAGGCCAGTCCTACTGACAAACTACAAAAGATTCTAGGTCTTCCGTGGCACGTGCATCAACACTGTTTATGTGAAAGATTTACTTAAGTTTAATAAAGGAGAAAGTGTTACAAAAAGAACTGTGTTAAAAACAGCGGTCGTGTTAAAAACAGCGGGGAAATTGTACGATGTGCTTGGTCTTCTAACGCCGTTTACAATGAAACTCGAATGTCTATTCCAAGAACTGTGGCTTAGGAAGTGTTCATGGGATGCAGAACTTCCAGCAGACCTTCTTCAAAAGTATACTCAATGGAAGCTTGAGTTATCTGATATTACGAACTTACAAGTCCGTAGGATTATCCTCGACGGTAGCCTAGGTGATGCCAACGAACTTCAAATCCACATCTTTTCCGATGCCATACGGAACTGCAGTATACTTAAGAGTTAAAAATGTTGACAAAATCTCAGCAAACTTAATTGCTTCGAAGAGTCGTGTTGCCCCATTAGAGAAACTGTACTAAAACTTGAACTAATGGGGGCATTGCTCGTAGCCAGACTTGCGAAAGTAGTAGAACAAATTGTAAAACGAAAAGGGACACCTACATTTCATTTTTGGACAGACTCCCATAACATTGTTCTGGATTAAAGGACCTCATCATAAGTGGAAGCAGTTTGTTTCCAATCGTGTGAAAGAGATTCAGGCTCTTAGCAATCCTAAAGCTTGGTCGTACATACGTGGTAAACTAAATATAGCTAATTTTGTAACAGGAGGGGTTAGTGTAGAAGATCTTTTAAAAAAATGAGACCTGGTGTTCAGGTCCTGAATTCTTAAATAGAAAATGTAATCTCAATATATCAGTGTAATAATTCTGTTCCTGAAGAATGTTATATTTCAGAAATGTAAAAAGCTTCCTGTGTAGAAGGAGATATACCTGTATGTTTTGCTGTAACTAACCAGAATGTTTTACAATTACAGAAATTACAGTTACATTGTTTCGTACCGAGAATAGAAGTATCATTTCTTAATGATTACGTAGGTCGAGAGTAAAAACTCGCTCCATCGTTGCCAAGACGATCTTCACTCGCGCGAGAGCAGCGTTGCCATAAAAGTTCAGAGAAAGGAATATTTCAAACTCTTAACACATATGAAAAGCCTAATCTGCAAGTGTTCCATTGAAACCATTACGGATCTAGTCGCCAGGATCGCCGTTATTGCGGATGATATTCGGAAAATGCCTAGTGTCTTCGCAAATGTGCGTCTATCCTTATCTCGCAGGTGTGAAGTCTGCATTGCAGCTGGCGGATGGTACTTTTGAGCAATTTCTATGAGCATGCTCTGGTAATAAAATGTTTTCTGAAGTGTCTCCCTCATTCTTATGTTAATTCTTTGAAGCTGATAGTGGAAAACTACCCTTTAACTTCTCACCGCTTCGTTCTTCCGACCATACGTTCTACGACAAATATTGTTCTCATAGCTAGCTGCCTTCTATCACCTCCTAAAGTTTTGCCCACTTATTCAGATTCTCCCTATATTTCCTAGCAATTGATAAAGAGGCAGTAAGCAAAATCACTATTGTGTAGTGTTTTTAATTATTAAATGTTTTCTGTGTTAGTTAAGAAAATTATTTTATTTAAATGATTTTCATTTTGTAGGCATAAAAATGTTTTACGCTCAATTCATGTTGGCCCAAAAAGGTCCATTGGCAAAAATTTGGCTCGCAGCTCATTGGGACAAAAAGCTTACAAAAGCTACTATTTATGAGACGAATATAGAAAGCTGCGTTAAAGGCGTTCTGGAACCTAAGGTAAGTTCGGGTTTTTAATAAAATTGTGTTTATTGATTTTAATAATTGTACAGTTAAATAGCACTTTAAAATCATTATACACTACTAAAACACAATTTTATTGGAAATCATTATACACTACTAAAACACAATTTTACATAAAAAGATGAACTTATTTGTTTTGGCGAAAGCCAAAATTCAACTTCTGCAGAGTGACGCCAAATTGTATGATGAGGTAAGTGATTGTTTCTGTTGCATTGGAAAAGTCAGAGGAATGAGGCCTTGGAATCGCAACGGTAAGTTAGTTATGATTTAGCTATAATTTGGTGAAACTCTCTTCTTTGGACACATGAAGTTTGATTATGCTCCTTAAAGACGTTCAACGCTGAGTGCTACCATATTTTCTTGGATGATAATTTAATACACTTTCAGGGAATTCGTACTTCCTGAATAGGACAGCTTGTTTTAGGTGGAGACTACGCTTTTGCACCTTCATTTGCACCACCAAAGTGTAGTTCAGGAGTCCTAGCCTGTTCATTTGCGTCAGAGATTCTTATGGTTAAGAATCATATTTGTCTCTGGAATGCTCTGAAGCGAAATATCAGCTCCATGAAACCTAGACTATATGAGTGGAATTGCAGCAAGTGTATTACGAATTGATAGATGATTTTAGTGCAATTATACGTGAAATTTTTGTATTGTTCTGCGTAGTATAACATGAAAATATGAGAGACAATGCTTTGCCGGAAAAGTAAGAATACAGGGGCAGTCTGTTTAACATTGAGTAAATGGCTCTCTCGCTAATTTGGCGAGAAATCGTGAAAAAGTCGCCAAACCTGGCGACCATTAGGAAACATTTTTGTCCGGTTTCTCTATAACTGTAACGGATATTGCAATTGAATAGCTAGCTGACGTTCTGTGTAACTGTAACCATATTTGGCCCTCATATGCCTTCCAGTAATTTCGAGAAGTAATAGACATTTCTGAACGGCCGGGTAAAAAGTTTGACGTATTGAGATATCTCCGGTTTTTAGATGCGCTTTGCATTGAGTTGTGTTTAACGTTCTTAGTAGTTTGAAGGGAAAGTTTTCTTAAATTGATTATAATCTATGATACTGTAAACACTGGCACGAGAACTTCTGTGGAAAGTTCCGGTATTCTGAAGTCTTCCTTTTGATAAAGTACATTTTATCAACCTATCATCGGACCTGTGTGCAGCATTCAGTCTGTCAAGAACCCTTTCGGACGTAGCATGTGTAGTTTTCAGTTTCTTTATCATCTTTGGTAGAGTCAATATCTTCGTGAATGCAGTTTTCAGTAATGTTATAGAAACGATAGGTTGTTAGGGACGAATTTTGATTAATTTGATTACACGCTGTGCATTGAAATGTGAATTATATGGCCAAGAGTGAAGAACAAAGATTATTTACTTCGAAAAATATTTGGAATTTATTTCCTTGTATAATTATTCTTCCTTGTTTCTCATTCCACACTGGGATTATTACGAACCAGAAAAATCGGCAGACTGAATAATATTTCGAAAATGGAGGTTCTTGAAATTCTTAAAATTTTGAAAAAGAAACGATCCGTTGTAAGCCAATTAACTACGAAACTAGTAACCAAAGTCGAAACGAATTTAGCAAATAATATTCCTCTAAAGGAAAAAATTGGTATCAACAGTTCATTGAAAAAATCAACGAACTATTCAGAAATCGAAACGAAAGTAACTTCGGAGGAGATTGAAAATGAAATTATGCTAAGTCAAGAATTCCGGTTTCGCTTTAAGTGACTATAATTATGATTCCGCAATAGAAATACTGAAGGAACGTTTTGGAAGACAAGATGTTGTCATCACTTCACATATGAATAAATTATATCTCTTGAACCAGTGGGGAAAATTTCAAATGTTAAAGCACTGCGTAAACTGTACCATGAATGCGAAGTCAACATTCGAAGTTTAGAATCGTTAAACGTTACTTCTGGAAGTTATGGAAATATTCTCTGTCCTGTGAAAGCAGGATTAGATATAAAGGAACTCATACAATTCTTAAAAATAGAAGTTAACGTCCTCCGGTCTAACCCCTATTTGAAAATAACCAGTCGTTAAGTCTAAAGTCGTCATATATTTGGTAGACGTTATGTTCCTTAGAATTTCTTCAATAATAGGTAACGGATATACCGGATATTTAGTTATGGAGTTTAATTTACGATAGTCAATCGCGAAACGCCACCTTTTTGGATGTGTTAATGGATAGTCATTGTTTTTCTTACATAAAACCACCGGGCTAGCATAACTACTTGAGATGGGCGTTATGATCTTTTTACGTAGCATATATCGCTAATGTGCCATTCTATAATTTTTTCTTTATTTCTTATCATACCGGTATGCTTTGTGGCGAACTGGCATTGAATCTCCGGTGTCAATACTATGGTTAGTAACTTGTGTAAATCCTGGAATATCACTAAATAACGAAGCAAATTCACTTACCACTTGTCGGATTCTTTGTTGCTCTTCCTTAGGCAGGTGGATCAAGGTTTAACATTGGCGGTTCCGATTTTTCTTCTCGAACTGGTTTCATCGTCAGCTTAAGGGACGCTTCATTAAAATCCAGCGTTGCTTCTGCCTCTGAAAGAAAATCTATTCCTAAGATGATATGTGCTTGCAGATTCTTTACTATAAAAAACATAATTTTTACTTGTTCGTCCTTGATACGAACGTATAGCGGTAATTTACCTATGCACTTACATCTTTCTTCCTGCGCAGCTAACACTGTCGTATTATCCGAATTATATATGCGGTATTTCCGAAAATACTTCCTAAAAAAATCTTCTGCCACACAGGAACACTGCGCGCCTGTATCCAGGCGTGCGGTGGCTGGGATGTTATTCACCAACACTTCAATCTTCGGAAGTGTCAAATTTTTCACCATTACTGTATTTAACTTGAAGGAAGAGGAGTTTTCTTGGCCTTCGGATTTCCGCACCCTCCCGTCAGCAGAAATCCGTTTTAGTTTAAATCCTTTTTTCTTTCCATGCTTTCCTTCTTTTCCACTGGCCTTGAGACTTTTTTTCTGGATTGCTATTGAACTGTGGACGTTCGCCGGCTGTTTTGGATGCTCGGGTTTCCTTGCCCACTGATTCGCTTTGCTTCCGTAGCCGTGTGCTTGACTTTGCTGTGGTCTTGGCGCACCAAATTGGTTTCGTTGTTGATATTGGCGTCTTCTTTCAATGTCCGCCGTTCTTCTACTTTCAAACTGGAGTGCTAGCTCAAATAAATTTTCCAGTGTAGTCGGATTCCTTAATTCAATAAAGTCTTGTACTTGGGGAAGTAACCTCGGCAAAATCACTTGAATTATTATAGGATCCGGACGGTTTCCATACAAGAGTTTGAAGACGTGAAGTTTTCTTAAAATAAAGCTTGAGAGATTTTCAATTCTTTGCTGATATATGCTGAAAAGTTCCGTTTCTAATTTCGCACGATCCCATACGACAGGGAAGGCTTTTACTAGGGCAGTCTTGAAATAGGTGGGACTTCCTGCTTGACCCAAGAGACTTTCTGCCTATGCATTTGAACCAATTAAGCGCTTGGCCCCTCAAAGCGCTGGTAGCTAAGGTAACTTTCTGGAACTCGTGCACGGGATACATCATGAAGTGGTCCTCCAATTTTTCCAAAAAACTGGTTACCGGTGAGTTTCCATTAAATGTTGCTTCTGGTTTCATCGCTGCGCGCATGGTCTGGACGATGTAACCAAATCCTTCCAGGGCGGCAGCTGGCATTTCTGGATTCTGAGCCGCTTCTGCAGGCAGCACAGGTATTTCTTGAAACTCGGCCATGGTTATTCTTCTTCGTCGGGCGCCACTATCAGGTTCAGTGTTCCGCCTTACTTGCTTTGGGAACATGCAAAGACCTGACTCGGAACAGGGAGCTTACTAAAGCTATGTTCAATAAATGTGGGAAGTAGACAAGATACACAGGAAGGGTATACGAAACCCTTTATTTTTCACTCTTTACAATAATTTCCGTACTTCGGAATACAGAGACCAACCACTTGTGGTCTGAACTTAAGAATATAAAAATATTAACTAAACTCTTAACTTAACTTTGGAATAATAAACAAGGGCCTACGTGGAAGATTGGCCGTATATTAACAGGAAGCCGTATGTAGTACAGAGAACTGTTAACACTACAATATGTTTAAAATTATTAAGAGGATTAAACCTCTGGCCTGGAAGGCAACCAGCAACCGAGTAAAACTGCTAAGGCAAGCGGCCTGCTTCGACTAACTCCTTCCTCTCTCTCGCTTGGCAAAAAGCCACAACTTAAGTACTTGGCGTTCGCCAGACAAATTTGCATAAATAAGTTAAAGCTTTTAATTCTGGCCGGAAGTAGAAAATAAGAAGTGATAGTAAAGATTTAAAATAAAATAAACGTTAGTAAAACTTAAGATCCTTACAACTGGTCCGAAGATTATTATATTTTTTCTTTTTAATGTGATTCAATTACGAGTAAATAGAAGTTCATTTAATTCACTGTATAGCTTGTTAAAAACATTTAATGTTTTTGTACCATTACATTACGTATTTGTTCACTAGAATACACAAAAGATATATAACGGTCCTATATTAATCTGAATGTTTGTTCATGTAGTATGCCAACCAGCGGTCAAGCGATGAAGTCGCTGAACACTTGTATTTCCGTCCGAATTTCGAATCCCGGTGGATGGGCTGGTAATTAAATAAACCAGTCATTCATGGAATGCCCCATAAACTGCTTTGCTCCACAACCTGGGCCATTTGTATTTGTATTCGCTAGAAAAAAATCATGTAAGAATCATTTTAATTTTATTACCCATTTTTTTTATGTGTATTCCGTTTTCTATCTAACCTCGTTTCTCTGCCAGAATATAAATTTCCAAAGAAGGAAATTATTCTGAAACAAATGTTTGGAGAGAGAAATCAGAGGATTCTGCTTGAAGGTCAAGCTGCTTTGATTCTCCAGCGGTTAGAATTTTGCGCCGTTGAGTTATTCTTGCCATTAGGTTTGTTTACGCCGACTTTGGTCAGAGCCAGTTTTAAAATCTGAACAATTTTCAGATTTAAAAAAAGGTTTTTTTTAAATATTCCCCTTAAATATTTTGATTTTATATAAATATCGTTATAACCGAAAACATCGCGGGTAAAAACGTAGCGAAGAGAACAACGCAAGGCGAAAACGTCGTGGCACAAAACGTCGTGGGAGAAAATAAAACAAAGAGAAAACATCGCAGTTCTAAAATGATCGTGGTACAAAATATCGTGCTCGAATATAAAGCGGTTCAAAAACTTTGCAGTTTAAAAACATCGTTGTCGAAAATATCATGGTAAAAAAAGTACCTACAAATCATTGCATGACGATGACATCGCATACATGCGTTTTTCGGACTTTAATAATTGTAAATGTATATTCGCATAATGATTTGTGAGCGCAAGATGGAAAGAAGTGTAATTTTTAATTTCATATTTTTATTAAGTAATAAATTAAAAAAAACAGAACAAGAAATATTTTCACTATAAGAGTATCAGATTAACAAAAGTAAAGAAAATAATCTCATAATTAACTTAGCAGTTTTCTTATAGATAAAAGGCATGCAGTTACTTATCTTCTTTTTACTAATCCTTTTTAAATTATACTTTACATGAAAAATTAGCAGTAAAATTTTATAAAAAATAATTTGTTAATGACTTTTGCTAGTTAACTATTTCAGTTTAAAACTCTACACTGCTGGCCACCCAAATTGCACACTAAGAAAGACAAAAGATATCACAACAAAATTTATTTAGTAGATAACATGTTGACCAAGTATCAAATGATTAAATTTATAGACTTCTGTGAAGTGTGGTTCCTTCCAGAATTAGTAGCCAGAGTAGCCGCTAGTGTTGGAGATCACCGCTGCCACACGCCTCGGACAACAGAGCAAGCAACTTCCACACGTTTGCCAAAGTTGATCTGGTGTGGCAGCTTGAGATGTAATCTGGGCCAATCGTTCAGCAAGCATGGACCACATGATATGATATGAGGGACGCAGCCCGACCCTCCTGGCGGGCTTTACGTCGCCCTATGGCGTTTTAGCGGGCTGCGCCAGAGCAAGCCAGAAACAGCACCTTCAACAGACATAAAGAATAACACACATAAAGAATAACTAAAAAACAAAATTCAGATTAAAATCCCTTTTGCAAGCTTATTATGATTACTCCTCTCGACAATTTCCTGGCAAATTTTTTCAGGCTTTTAAAATCAAATATTATAAACATCATTCTTCTTAAACTCGTTCCTGATATCAGTAAAATATTTACATGTTTCCACATAATGCTCTGCAGTGCCCGGTTCTTTACAGATATCACAGAGGTCAGACTCTTGTAATTTAAACCTTTTAAAATAGAAAGGAAAACGGCCATGACCTGTAATGATTTGGTTAATGTCAGTGTCTGAATAACATAAACCTATTTTAAGTTTAACAAATTTTATATAACCTTATTTCGATCAGACCTTTCGCACTTTTCCATTTATCAAATATAATTTTTCATAATAGTCATAGCTTTCCTTGTTGATCCTTGTACATTAATATCACGAGCATTAACATCGTTAATTGCCTCCTTGACCAGTGCGTCCGCCCACCATGGACCACATGTTTTCTATCGGCGAAAGATCCGGAGAGCGAGCCAGCCAGGGAAGCAATTCAATCTGGCGATTGACTAAGAACCCTTGGACAATGCGTGCCACATATTTCAACATGATAATGCGCGTGTCGCGCATTATCATGTTGAAATATGACTGTGGGCAAGCCCTAAAGGTAAGACTGGAAGGTAAGAAGGACAAATGGCTCCAACACCTCGGAGATGTAGCGCTGGGTGTTGAAAGTACCGGCAATGCGTATTAGAGGAGTGCGAGAGTGATATCCAATACTGTCCCATACCATAATACCCGGTGCAGGACCAGTGTGGCGGTGCATAAAGCAGCTGTTCAGCATCCTCTCTCCACGGTGTCTCCAGACTCGAATCCGACCATCGTGGTGTTGCAGACAGAAGCGTGACTCGTCAGTAAAGACAATTTCATTCAATTCTGCCGTCCACATCCTTCTTTTATCGCACTATTGGCGGCGGAGACGTGTGTGGTTCTGCGTCAAGGGTAGACGAAGCAATGGACGTCTAGCGGACAGACCACTCTGCTGTAAACGGCGTCGAATGGTATGTGCAGATACTGGATGATGTGTTACAGACTGAATGTGCTGTGCTATGGTTCGTGATGTGACCGAGCGATCCGTCACTGCCATGCGCACAATGTTTCTGTCATCACGTAAAGTGGTGCACTGAAGTGGATGCGATCGAACACGTCGATCCGTCGTACCCTCCTGCATCGAAGGGTCACATATCCGCATTACAGTTGTGTTTGGTTTCGTACAAACGACTACCGATTTCCCTGAAAGATAATCCTGGCGGTAGGCCACTATATCCTTCCTCTGTCGAACTAGGATACTTGATCAAACGATGATCGCTGTTTACTACGAGGCATAATTGATCGTTTTCCTTGAAAAAACCGCAAGAAAAACACAATTGCCGAACTTGAAATCGTCGAAAACTCCAAGCCTTAAATAGCACTTTAAAGTAATGTGCGTCTGCACTGAAATTCTAATCATTTGTATATCTCACCTCCGCTAATGCATGTTGTAAATTTCATGTTATTTGCATGCTTCCTTCAGGGTGTTACATTTACGGTGGCCAGCAGTGTATTAAGTTGCATTAATTTTCTATCCTTAAGTTTCCATTTTGCATTTTCAGCAAATAACCATTAATTCAGAAGTCAAACAACAAAAATCAGCGTTATACCTACAAAATTTTCACAGGACTAGTTTCGATGGTTTTACCGAACCATCATCTTCAGCTGCAAACCGCAAATGCGGTTTGCAGCTGAAGGTTGATTTTCATTTGCGGTTTTGCAGCTGAAGATGATGGTTCGGTAAAACCATCGAAACTAGTCCTGTGAAAATTTTTTGCGGTTTTGCAGCTGAAGTTGATGGTTCGGTAAAACCATCGAAACTAGTCCTGTGAAAATTTTGTAGGTATAACGCTGGTTTTTGTTGTTTGACTTCTGAATTAGTATTTATTCGGCGTGTTATTGTGTCTTAAATAACCATTAGTTAATAAAAAATATGAAAGTAAAAATTATCCTTCTCTCCATCCTTACACTCATTATATCGTTATGCGAGTATCCTTTCACAATTATGAAAGCCTGAAAAACGCATGTCTGCGATGTTATCGTCATACGATGATTTGTAGGTACTTTAATGTTTACCACGGTATTTTCGACGAAGATGTTTTTAAACTGCGGTATTTTTCAACCGCTTTATTTAGGACTACGATATTTTGTACCGCGATGTTTTCTCTTTGCTTTATTTTCTTCCACAATGTTTTGTGCCACGACGTTTTCGTCCACGATGTTTTCGGCGGCATATAAATATATACCAAAATGACAAAGTAATGTACTTCTGTTTTAAATGATTTGTTCATTTTACTGCCTTTGGTATAGAAAGAGGAAATAACCAATTAATAAGAAATTTAAAGTTGTGTTACAAATTAAAGTTAGGATATTATTTTATACATTCTTTATATTACGTACTTCCATGCTACTCTAAGGAGAGAAAAAGGCATAGCGAGCGCCTTAAAGCGGTAGGAAATAAAGAGAAATACTCGATGTACTCTATTTAATAGAATCCAGAGCATATATTTGAAGTTCCAATATTAGTCCACCATTTTTTCCTCTTACTCTTCCCATTACTGACGAGCTACAATTATTCCTCATCATAAATTTCAAATTGCATTAAAATAAGATATTAAAATGAAAATGATGATTTCAGTAAGTAATGGATTTACAGTCAATATTTAAGACTTTGTGAATTTTTTTCTTAAATATTAAAGGATTATCCGAGTTCAAAATGCTTGAATATGATTTATAATATTTCTTTTACAATTTTCCTTTTGTAATTACTTTATAAAATTGTCATGTTTAATGGGAAACGTAAAACTTTCTTATATACTTTACATGTTCGTCAAATGTGTTAAAATAGTAATTTAGTCATAAATATTTAAAGGTTATTTAGCGTAAATAAAAGTGATAACAGATATTACTTTCTTTCAGGTCAAGATGGCGCTGCGGACAACAGGACATCTGTTATTGGGAATAGTACGAATTTATTCTCGCAAAGCAAAATATCTTTTGGTTGATTGCAATGAAGCATATTTAAAGTTAAAAATGGCATTCAGACCAGGTGTTATTGATTTGCCTGATGCAAGAACAGCTGATGCTGCCACTGTTACCTTACCTGAAGTATTTTACGACTTTGATACTGATGTTGCTGACTTAGAGTTAGTAATAGATTATTTTTATTATATCTATTGAGACACACCAAAAAGCCATTTTGTTAACCTTTTTTCCTGGGGCAACATGGATTCCTGGTCAAAAGTGCGAATTAAACATTCTTACATGAAAATAAAATTGAAATGCGTAAAAAATTGCTATTAAACTGAGGTTTTCTTTAATTTCGATGTTTGCAAAATATAAATATTTGTTTTCGAATTTCACTTACGCATTTCATCATTGCAGTAAAAAGCAAAACACTGACAATTGTTTTGCTATTTACTGCAATGATGAAATGCGTAAGTGAAATGAATATTGAAAATCGCTGCAAAACCCCTTTACAACCGGTTAAAATGCTCTGATTAGCACTGGAAAGGTTAGTTATACAACCATGTCCATAAAAATACTTATGGGGCCATTGATTTCTTAACCGTTATCATAAACAGATATCTATGGTTGCAGAAACACACTCACTTCCAAAAGTTAAGCACGAAGATGTAAAATGAAAAAAAATCAAGAAATACTGCTTTGATTGACACAAAATTCGGCAGGAAAGTAGCATATATATTTGTGCATAAACCAAAATCAATAATTATATACAGAAATGAAAACAATACTAAATGTTTGTAAGTTATCAGATAATGATATATTGGAGACAGCATAAAATGAAAAAAAGGACATTACTAGGGTATGTGATCTCCCCTCATCTCTATACAAAATTTACACTTGTGACCATGCTTTTAAATAGGTGGACAACCACCGCAGAATTAAGCAATCGCCATTCTTCTTGTAGAGCAGTTTCCAGCTCAGTAAGAGTTGCTGGAGGTGAGAAACGCGAAGATACAGCACGGCCGAGAGCATCCTAAAGATTTTCAATGGGATTAAGTTCGGGCGAATATGCTGGCCACTCCATACGCACAATCCCTGCACTCTCCAGGTAGTTATCGACGATGTCAGCTGTATGGATACGTGCGTTATCGTCCATTAAAACAAAAGTACGGCCAACTGCTGCAGCGTAAAATCTCACAATGGGTTCTAGGACTTCATCTCGATACCGGACAGCTGTCAAAGAACCCCAAATATTAGCGTGAAAGCATTTTCACGCTAATATTACCAATATATACCACGCTAATATTTTCACAAATATTAGCGTGAAAGCATTTTCACGCTAATATTTGGTAAGTTTTTAAATACATTATAATATTTACATGCTGTTGTTATATTTTAGGATCATAATCTAATACTAATAAAATAATCATTGAATTAAACATATTCTTGACTTTGAATTTATGCAAATAATGCTGTAAATTAGCTCAAACAGTAGCACTGTTTCCTGGGTCATGAATTCTATAAGATTATGTGAAATAGGATCCTTCTTTTGGAAGAATTTGTATTGACCAAAACGGGTCACTGCAGTTTCCATAGGAGAGCTGATCATTTAATCTATAACACAGAAACTTTTCTCTAATTTGATATTCGGTATTTCGTATTTAGTTAAATATAGATTTAAATACTTCATTTTTCAGTTTGTGTACCGATCCTGAACATATAATTCCTAATTTTAAAATAAAGTATCTCTGTCAATTTTTATCGGACGGGTTACAAATCGTTTTGTGTTTTATTTTTTAGTATTAGTATACAAATTTACTTAATACTATTGCGTTTTTCTTTTCTGACACCAGTTGTTACGTTATCTTCTTCCTTCACTTTCATACGGGGTTCGTGTGGATTTGGAGTGAATAACGACGACACTTGATGAAGCATCGAAACACACTTTATTGACCAATATTAATCAGAACAGCTCAAAAACACTTTTACAGTCGTCGAAGATCTACAATAAACAGGCTGGAACAATCAACGAAACAGCCTTCACACTTTCAGGCAATAACGGTGGAGACAGCTTCACTGCAAAGCACCAGAATACAGCTCCCGGCGCTGCTTGGTCGTTCTCGGAACTCCACGTACTCCATGGTTTAGTCGTTCCCCGGAGCTTAACACACTTTCTCGACAATGCACTATCCGCGATACACTAAGAGACTCTTCGATGCACTTGACGACGCACTCGGCAGTAGCTGACCGGCTGTCAACTCGATCGTCTCCGCACGGACTAACTAGATGAGACAGACTAACTCGCACTGCGAACAGCAGCGTTTATATAGCTTTCGGCTTGTGTTCGAGAACATTCTTGGGCTAAACCGGTAAGAATTCGTTCCAGAAGGTTCTCCATACGTCCATTGTATATCGCCAATTTTGTCCCCATATGTCGCCAAATTCTCGCCAAATGTGGCAACACTAAAACTTTTGTGGGGAAGCTATCTTTCCGCACCTGGACATTTCGTAACAATGTAACTAACTTTAGGGAGCAGGGATCATATAAAATGTTAGAATTCGCAGTTTTTCCGAAACTGATTTTCTTTTAAATTTACAAAATGCCAAAGAGGAATATTTTCTTTATTTTCTTTCTTATATTTCTTTATTATTGATTTTATGTTTTTTTTTATATATATATATATATATATTTTAAACATTCTTCCATATGGAAGTGTATGTCTGCAAGCAATGGTTTCGAAAATGAAGACCGCGTAAGGACTTTTATTGACACTGTGTTTGGTAAATTAAAAAGAGCATATAAAATAATGGCAGATTACTTGAAGGAAATCAACCTTTTTGTATTACTGAGGTCGTAAAAAATTCAAACTAACTCTTGCCATAATTTTTCATTGCTGTTTTTCTGCGATTTTTGATAAATGGATTTAAAATACGATTTTTGTTTTCTAAATCATATGATTTCAACTGCATTAAGCAGCAAAATACTGATCATACGGAATAGTGGATGATGTATTTTTCATGTATGTTAATGATAATTTATTGTATTTGATTAACAATAGTTCTTTTATGAATTAGTTATTGTATCAAGGTTTGTGACAAGTATTTTATTTATCATTAATTTATCCTGAACGGAATTATTGTATTAAAACCTAGTATATAAATTTATACACATATATTTACCAAAAGAAACGTTATCGAAACTTTGCTGTACTGAACTATGTTTGCATGTACGAGTAGGGGTTGTGCTCCTAAGGTGAACGATAATGCAGGAACCTCCCGAAAAATGAAATAAAATATATTAACCAAATTTCAGCCAGATGTTAATAAGCTAATGTCGAAACATTAGTCTCAAGGATCTCAGTAACATCTATGTTTTTGATTGCATTCTATTTAACAGCCTTAGGAATAAAACTGTATATGTTGTTTCAAATAGTATTTGTAATTTTTCTGTCTTTTTAAGTGAAAAAATGTTCCAGCTTAATCTATTAAAAGTTTCAAAATGTATAAAATCTATTAAATATATGTTAAATCTGTTAATATCTATTAAATATATAATATATGGGGTATATATATGGGGTCTACATCCTTAAAGTTAGGATTCAAGGGGGCCCCAAGTAAAAAGGGTTGGGAACCCTTGATACGTTTGGTAATGCAGACAATTAGTAATTTTATATGAAAGGACTTCATATAAAGCCATCATAAATATTAATTACTTTAAAGAGACTTGCGTTTGGAGTTCAGTCAACAATTGGAAGCATAAAAATATTTCAAATATGAAACAGCTACTTACTACAGTAATTTGTTCTTAATCGTTTTACGCGGGAGATTCTTATTAGAATCTTTATGTTGGTCTAAAATGAGGGAGATAACTCTGAGCAAATTTTCGCAGGTCTGGAAAATGTTTACAGAGCAACGATCTTCAAAACGTAGTTACATAAGAAACCTATAGAATCGACGGGAGCTTATTAAACTGAAATTTCAGTGAAGAACTGGTTTTCGATCGCTAAGTTTCATTTGAATGTTTTTAATCATCATCAAGCTATTTTGTCCAGAAGGGAAAAATCTTCGGGTAAATGCATTATACAGCTTTCTTCTTTCGCAAAATCTTTAAAACCATGGGTTTTGCAGTAATCTTAAGTTTCATGGTATATTCTATAAACTTCCAAACCATGGGTTTTGCAGTAATCTAAGTTTCATGGTATATTCTATAAACTTCCTTGATTTTGAAAAAATTCACCGTGTTTAATTTTGAAGGCACCAATTTGATTTCCCAAAGGGATAAATTAGCTTGTTCTTGCCCTGCAGTTGCACATTTAGATCATTGAGATGATTCTAGTCCTCTAAAAATGATAAATAGTATTAATCGTATAATTTTTATTAAGCGCGCAAAACAGCTCCTTTTTTCCTCATGCAGCTCATCTTTCAATAATTCATTATTGTTATTAAAAATTCAATCCTTCATTTAATGTCTAAAATCTATTGAAAATTTGTCCTATAAAAAGCTCGCGAACTTCACAATGAAGGACGAGATTACAGTATCGTACGTTTAAATGTTCACAGTATTCTCTAAATTTTCTTCTCTTTAACTTTCTTATTCTAATTTTAATCACGTGCTTACCAATTCGTATCATAAACAAGCTACAAAGTTAGTTTTATGGCCTAGATACTCTTCATGTGTAATAGAATGTTTTAGTACCGAACGATCTAAAAAACCTTTTAAGTAAAATTTCAGTTCTAGAAAATCTACCTACCATTGCTGGTGATTCATCAGTGCACTAGTTGCTGATTTCCTAACTTGATTTTACTTTGCCGAATGTGACTGGAACTTTGATTCATTAGAATGCTTAAATTACCATTAATTTCTCTTATAAAAATGCGTAATTAGACAACATTGTAGAGACATTAGGTTATTTTGAAGCAGGAGACGTGAAAAATGTGCAATGCCTTCGCCGATACTCGAACCTGGCCTTCTTTAAATATGCCCCGAGTGTGCTACCAGGAAGGCATGTAGAAAGGAGGGAGAAGATATCTTATATACTCCCACTTTTAAAGGGCAACCGGGGATTAAGAGATACAGTCGTCAAATCCTGGTGGTGAAGAATCATTGGGCCCACTGTAGAGTCATTAGGTTTTTTGATACAGGAGACCTCAGAAATGAGCAATGCCCTCGCCGGGAATGGAACCTGGATCTCTCAAATACGCACCGAGTGTGCTACCGTTACACTTCCAAGGCATGCAGAAAGGAGGCAGAAAATACCTTATAATATTACGTATGTTAACAGATTCGTTACCCGCTGAGAAAAGAAAGAACAAACATGAACATAATCTTAATTCTCAGTAATTTTCTTTACTTTTCTTTCAAAGGCAATTCTCAGTAATTTCAGCGTTCATAGCGTCAACACATTTTGAAAATTTTGAGATAACAACTTCCTCATTAGTGAATTGCATTTTTAAATCACTACAAAAGGAATTTCACAAGAAGTTTCCAGAATTGCCGCACTTTTGGAAACTTCATTTTACAAATACTGTTTTTCTTTTTTCTTTATATCTTCTTTTTTCTTAATCTGCATATTATTTTCGTAACTCAAGCCGAGGAATTAATTTCAGATTTTCTTCCAATGGTTTGATGATATTATTTGTACTCGATTTATTCATATCATGTTTGTGATTATCTGGGATTTCTCAAACAATGCACAAAGGATTTTCCGACCATCAACAATAAAGGTAGAAGTCATTTTTCCACAGTTCGCTTGCCTTCACAAGTTAAAATGGCGCTTGCTTTCTCCTTTTGCTTTTCTTTGTTCATTATTTTTGAAAATTAATGGATGACATACGTAAAAAGTCATTTCAAAATTTAATGATAATTATGAACACTGTGAACGTTCAAAAACAATAAGTTTAAGGATCATTTGTATATTTTTTCATCTCAAGTCATTGCGTCTGACAGAATGCGAGACCCTTTCCTGCAATAAAACACCCGATTCACTGGAAATCACACACACAACATAGACATTCTAGTTGCAAAAGCATTGTCGATAATTAATTAAAAATTAAAAATATACTACTATGCTTAATAAATACTATACGTATCTGAAAAGAACAACTATTACACAAAAAAAGGTAACAACTCGTGCATACTAATAAATCGAATGACTACAGGTTTCACTATTAAGCAAATTAAGGAGAGGGAGCAATACCTTTACATTAGCATTCAAAATGAAAGCATTATTTTTTTAAATGTACTGAACGTTTAGAAGTGTTCGTGAAATGGAACTCATATTTTATACAACTGTAAAAAATAGTTCTATAAGATATGTTTTATTGTTTTCATAAGATAGAAGACACAAAATTTCACACCTATCGAAACAAATCTCCATCGAACTTTTATAATAGAGTTAGTTGTAAACTGATTGAGTAACTGGCGACATGGTTAGCATTTTTCGATGTCTTCTGTTTCAAGACCAAGCAAGTGCGATTGTAAGTATGATAAGGACGCACACTAGAATTCAGTGGTATGTTAAATGTGTGTGTAATAAGTTTCCTATGATTTTCATGAGTTTTAGTGCATCATTTTTAATTATTCAGTGTGTCCGTCACCTTTGGGTCCTTGCGCCGTAAGTTGGCTATCCTCGGTTTTGAATATGTAACATGTGTCTTCTCAAAAGTCATTTTGTCTTCTGTCCCCTCTCCCCCCCAAAAAAAATCTATTACGGAATCTCACAAAATGCCTGGAATATTTCTGTAGTACTTATGCCAATTAAATACTGCCACATAAAAAAAAGGCTTACTGTGTTACCGTGAGTTTTTTTTATGTTTCTATTCTTAGGTTATTAAATATGTTATGCAAGGAAATCAAGCATATTTTGCATAATATGTTTTATTCAGAGATTACATTTGAAGCATCATGAAATGGATTAGTAAAACGTTCATGCAAGTTATGTATTTATACCTATCAGTATTCAGCTTATAACATGCTACTATCTTGAAGAATTTACATGTTAATTTTATTTTATATATTGAAACACTGAGTGAATTGTATATATTCCGATCTTTTGGTATCTAATCGTTCTTATTTCATTTCTTGAACTTTTACGTTCTGAATGTATAATATTATTACACACGGAAGTTTTCAGGTTGCCATTTAACACCTGTTGATTAAAACGTGACTTTTATAAGTAAAATGGTTCTCCATGCCGTGTTAGAAAAACTGCTGAGTAAAATTTTAAATATATCAAAATTGTACTGACAGCTCATAAAATCAGAAAATCAAGTTGAGTAGAAAAGATTTGATTTGAAATTACCTTTTTAATATGTTAATTTTTCAATATTATGTTTTAGGCCAAAAATATGTAACATAACCTTAGAATTTCAAATACATTTGAACTTCGGGTCACAAAACGCCTTAATTGAAGAACGTTTCCTCGGGCTACGAACACTCAAACGACAACATATAATTTTCTAGAGAAACTTAGCTTCATGGTTGATACTCAAGGTCTTTTGAAACTGTCACTATGATGTGTTACATTTATTCAGTTACGAAACCTATTACGGTGATACAAGGCCTGGACCCAAATGTTGCCAAATGGTTGCCAAGTTTGGCAACTTTAGGCTGTTTCTCGCCAAATTTCGCAACAAAAATTAGTTTCCAAAACCGTTGACAACTTGGTGATATCTCGCCAAATTAGCGAGATAGCAATTTACTCAATGTTAAATAGACTTGCCCCTGTATTCTTACTTTTCCAGCAAACTCAGCACCTTTACATTTTTATATTAGATCATATAAAGGAAATAAACAGTTTTAAATACAATTGCATAAAATCATATACATAGTAGGTACAGGATTCGTAACAATATTTTTCTCTCTCGTCAAATTTGCGCAACGTGGCATAAGATGCAGACTTGGAACTGTACACTCTGATAAAGCAATAAGAGTCAGCATAAGCATTTTCAGGCACAATACTATTCCTCACTTTAGAAAATTCTAAGATGTAGGTAGCAACAAACTGCAGAGGGATAACATTTTCCAGTGAGTCTCAAGCAGGGTTGTTTGACGCTTAGAAACAAAAAATAAATAAAAGAAGACAGTTACAGTTAATGAAAAAAGAATTTCGCATCCAAACAGTAACATCTTCCGTATCAGTACCCATTAATGCCGCCCACTGCGTACAGATACAGTAAAATTAGTTTCGTCCATTTTATCTGCGTTTGTTTTATTTATTTATTACTTTATGTTTAATGATTTCCGTTTCCTTTGGGTTATCGACTTGTGCACAAAGTGCTGGTGTAAAGTTTAAATAAACAATTACTGTGAATTATTCCATTTTACAGTAACCCCTATAGAGAAAATCGTTTCGCTTTACCAACATTTTGGGTGATGAAAACAGTTTTCAGGAGCCAAATTAATCATGAATTGAGATTTCACTGTAAATTACGATTAGATGTTTGATATATATTATATAAAAAATATGTGGTGTTATAGAATATGCATCTTCGATGATTTTTAGTTTAGGTGGTTTTATGTGGCATTTATCATGGAGATGTCATAAAATTACTCATACAAATTTCTGAAATTTGAAATTTAATTTTTTTATTTTATTCAAGATTGATTAAGCATTTTTCATGATTAAACTTTTTTCATCAGACTAGACATGGATGCTCAAATGGTTTTAAATCAAAGCAGAGTAGAAGACATAACCTTGAAAGAAGACTACAGTAATCTGAACCTGTTTCATGAATTTGATTTTGGTAAATATAGAAACTTTTTAATTTTTTGTTTTGTTTTATTGTATTAAGACTACTTGTATCTGCAACAGTGCAATAAATATCATATTGAAAGGTCAAAAGAATACTTTTACGGAAATACTGAGATTTTATATTTTTCCGAATGGAAGAATTCTGAAAACTGGCTGTGAGCGAGACCACTTGGAAATCAAAGGTTTTAGGTTTCGCTTCACCGAAGTTGCTTCTGTTATAAATGCATGGTAGCGTTGTAGAGAAATTAGGTTATTTCGAAGCAGGAGAGATGAAAAATGAACAACGCCTTCGCCGGGACTCGAACTACGGGCCTCTCGAATACGCGCAGAGCGTACTGACCACTACACTACGAAGGCATGCTAAGAATACGCTGTAAGAAATACCTTACAGCGTATTTTAATGTATTGTTCACAAAATCCGTATGACTCCGTAATGTATACTTACTGATATAATAGCAATATGTTAATTATTTTTCATTTCTGATATATTCTGATGTCTAAAAATCGAGCATTTTTCTGTACGGCTAAGAATATGCTTTAGTTATATTTCATTAATTCATTTTGTAGTCTATACACTATACTATGCTAATTATCTACTATTTCTATATTTACTACTATAATCAACAGTAATTAATATAACTTTTTTAACGTCTTACATACTTAAATGTTTTATGAAAAGCGACAAAACGGCAGGACAAAGCTATTAATTGAATTTTGTCGTATGGTTTATATAGCTTTACTTGTTTCCCCTAAGCTGAATATAGTCATCAAAATAATAAGCTGACATTAAGAGCACTTAAATTTAGTTTTAACATTTTATTGATCATTTCAGGTAATCAAAATTTATTTCTTCGAGTTACAGATTTACCATTGGCATGCCAAACTGAAAATTTGAATGTGGTTTTAAAATTAGTTCAAATAAATATAAATTTAAGTACTTAAAATATGTATAAAAGTCATGTTTATAACTTCCCTGAAGTAATCTTGAAAATATTTTCAGTCTGAACCTTTAAATTACCTTGTTTATGTTTTTGGAAGGCTGTAAATATTGTACATTTGTAAATTTTTCTTTTCTTTCAGAAGATCTGGAATTCGATGAACGAGAAGTTGCTCGTGGCGAAAAAAATACGGAGGAAAATATTGAGAATATAAGCTTTTTTCTTTGTGATGATCAATCGAAAGAAAAACTAGAAGAATCTGCTCAAGGCACTAGTAGTGCAAGCATAGTCAGTAAAGTCAATGTATCTTTAGATACTCCAGTTAATGACGATGGTTTCGGAGGCGTAGTTGGAGAAGGATTTCTTGGTATGTCTGAGTATTTATATGCAGCGTGACTGTTAGCAGAACATTACGTTTCATGCAGCCTCATTTATTAGATACATATTATATAATACTAGAAGCAAAAACGGTCTAAAGGTTTGGTTAACTGACATAAACATTCAAAACACTACATGTTCTTAGAAATGACTGTTTAAACTGTATTAAAGTTCTACTCTTCATTAACTCCGTTGCGCGCTTTACACGTACAACATCATTGACTGAGACTCTCGAATCTTCTATAAAAAAACATTCACCTATAAACGTGATACGGAGTTTCTGAGTTTGTCTTAGATGCTTGTTTTTCCAAATTTAACATCTTCAATCACCTTTGCATTGTATTTTTGTTAACGATGTCGTCTCCTTAAACATCGTGTAGCTTTCTTTGGATGTCGGACAGAACTCAGTCTACTGGTTTTAATTAGTGTGCATTATTCCTTTGCAATGGAGAAAATAATTTTGTACTCCTGTATATATAAAGAGAATCTTTTTAATAATATGTGAAGTTTCGATGATGTATATTTGTGGATAAAAAATGGTAAGTTGACGATTGTTTTCCATTCAAATACATCAGTTTTAAGTTATTGAAAGTAAAATGATAAGGATACAGGCAGTTATTAACTTAGCGTTTTAAGTTTTTTATTGTGATGAATAAACGTGTAGTTATATTTCATATTCCTCTCCTAATAATTCATTACCTAAGAGAAAAAATTAAAATAATATTAAAAAGATTGGTGGATTTGGTTAGTTAACCTTGTCCTGTGAAGCACAGTGAAGATTAAAACCCTAATGAGTTAAGTTCTTCATTTAATAAATAATTTTTATATTCTAAAGATCCTGTCTTTTTATGTCATTATATCTTAGAATAAAGATTTAGGTAAAACAGAAAAAACCCTTCAAGTGCGCTAATACATTTTTTAAAGTACTATTAATTGTTTGCATGTAATTTTATTTAATGTTGTCCAAACAAAATAAGAGTGGAATAATTACCAGCTTTATAGAGACAAAATGTTGCATTTTAAATGCAATTTTAGATAAAATCTGTAGAATACAGAAGGAAGTTTTCTAGGGCAAGTACTCTTTCTTTTCAAGTACTCTCTGTATTTGCCATAAAAAGTACTCTTTCTCTGCAAGTATTGTGTAAGGCTGGGACTAGATAGGATATGCTTTATGGTTTTCCTTTAAAAATACATATGTCCCCCGAATTCAAAGGATATTTTCTTTTAAATTCTATTCATAACATTAATTACTATTTCTGTTTAGTTTATGATAGCTTTTGAATTCCTATCTGTTGTAGGGTTTAAAAAAACGACTTCTCCCCCCCCCCAAGACGTCGAAAAAGCTCAAACCGTGTTGTATAGATTTGTACGTTGAATTTTAAACTGAATTAAATAGAACGAATAAAGTAATTTTGTAAAATTCCGAATAGATGAAATATAATTTTAAATAATTTGAGCTCAGTGTTATGGCATTAAATAATAAATAAAGGGATTATATATTACAGAGTAACGATAATTAAACTTCATCTAGTCTATGAAATGTTTATATATTACTTTAAGACCGAAGAATAAATCTTTTGAACAATTCCCAGTTGCAGTTAGGAATGATGTCGGTATTATTAATTCTTTAATTTTTTACCAAACAGCGTAATTTTATCTTAAATTTATGTTCAAGATAAAGCTTATTATAAATGCAAAATTTGTATTAAAGTAAATATTTCTATGTGTGTGAATATAATAAATGTTATAACTATGTTTCCATTTGTTTAAAATGTTATATTTTTGTTGCTGAGATAAATATATGTATTAGCATTGCAGATAGTAAATGTTCTGTGCTCTTAGTTTGCTGTAAATATTTCTGGAATTTAATAAATATTTTTTGTATTGAAATAATTTTTACTGTAAATGGTAATTTTTTCAATCAGTTGGATTGTTTGAGGACGCTCCTCTTGAACTTTTTAAGAAGGACTTACTAAATAATGCTAGAAAGAACACTGAAAGCCTCGGACTGCTCACTGAAAATTCACCTGAGCAACATCATGAAAACACGGATGGTGTGTATTTCTTATATTTTATAGATATTTACATATACTAATTCAGAAGTCAAATTCGGCGTGTTATTGTGTCTTAATATTTACATATATTTATAAGAAATTATTTATAATATATTATTTCCCCTTTTCCTTCCGGTTCACTTAGACAGGGCTAAACATTTAAAATAATATAATTATGCCACTAATTAAGCTGATACATAACAATTAGAAAAAAAAGCCTTGTAATATATATGTATATATATATATTTAAAATTTAAACCTTATAAAAGCTTATATTTTTTATCAGTGCTTTTGAATGCTGTTAACAAATTTTTATGAATTTCAGATATAAGACCTTGCTCTAGGTCTGCCATTTCTCCACTTCCATCACCACTGGCTAAGGTTCCTCGTTTGAGTACAGATACAAATTTTTCTGATTTTGATGAGGTGTTTTCCTCGGACACTGTATCTAACGGCTTAGAACATGAGGTGCCTACTCTTTCTGCTGCTCCTGCTGCATCACAGCTTACAATTTCTGGTGAACTGAGGTCATCTTTACGAGATTTGGGTGAAAGGAATTTAAAAGATAATGAATCTGAAAGTTTTGTTCTTGAACCATTAGATGAAGTAATTATGCAAGGTAATCGTTTTTATTTTTGGTAATATCATTTGTAAATACCATATTCAACTAGAAGCAGTTTTTATAAAATATCTATTTAATTTGTTTTAAGCTTGAAATTTGATTTATATTAAATTGGAGACACATAGATAATTTTGGCGTTTACTGGCGACAAATTCTTGACTAAGTATTGAAAGGTGCTTCTGTGTATTATGAATTATGCCGCTATAGTTGACGTTAAATTTCGTCCAACGTCATCAGTCTCGCTCCCCCATCCTCAACTGAAGCTCCAATACCTAGTATAACTATTGATTTCATATCTATCTCATACGAATTAGCAGTTCAATAATCTTGTCCGTTAGATTATTTTTCGTGTAATTCCTTGTGATTGTTTGAGCTAGCTGCATGCTGATTTTGATACTTAATTCATATATGATAAAATAAGAATGGATTTCCGGTAAAAACTCTACGAGGGCATCTTTTATTAGGCAGAAAGACATCGAAACATTCTGCCGTAACTAAAATTTGGATCTAATTAATCCTTTGCGTTTGTACTTTATGTGTACCATTAATTGTAAAACCGGAAGTATAACCTGAATTTCTATTGCATATTATTCAGTATTATTCCTAACTTTCCTTTTAAAAGGCCTTCTAGTATGCATGGAGTTTTATCCAGGTTAGCAAGCGCTTAGCAGTAGAAGAAACTTCAATAAAATTAATTCGCTGGTTTTAAGAACTTTCGACAGGTGAGGAAATATGGGGGATACTGGCGTCTACCAGAGGTAAGCAAGAGCATGCCCCGCGTCCTCCACTATCCAGCGCTTGTTGAAGAATTTAAGGATTTAGGTTAGAAGCATATCTTTACAGGGGCTAGGTGGCTGTAAAATAACTACAGATTTGGGAACAGAGGGTGCAAGGAACATATTGCAATGCCAGAACATAAAACAGAGAACATAAGCGTAAAAGTAATACAATGAATAAGTAGTGCAATATAATAATACATAAGTAGTAAATACGTAATAAAATAAATAAATAGTGCAATGAAAAGGCAGCTTAGCGAGAGAAGGTTTATGTCACCTGACAGATGTCCTGTTCCAGGGATGCAATTGTGATGATAGTCTGACATATCTTAGGCACAGTCACACGATTTTGTATAATGAAGCGTCTGTGAGTGTGACATTACTGAAACACTGACGTAGGTAAGTGGCGTGGGTGAGAAGGCTTTGATAGACGTGGTCTGGGGAGTCTTCTGCTCCACAGACGAATGTTGCAGTTTCGGAAATGCCAAAGCAAAGGAAATAAACTGGAAACGGTCCGTGACCTATGTAAAAAGCGGCATGCCAAATTAGAATGGAACTAAATTCGGTAGATGTTATGCATATATATTGAAAACGAAATACTGTTAGTATCATAGGAATTAAATGTATTATTCAGGAAATACATCTACAAGAGAGAAAAATCAATACTGCCCACCTGTGGCTCTGGTGCAAGTTGTTACCACATGTTGCTCTGGTGCAAGTTGTTGGACGGCTCACCAGCGGCTAACCATTAAAGTTGTTGAACCTGCGTAGTTCGGTCCGGGGTTCGAGTTCTGGCGAACTGGCTGGCTGTATTGACATTTTCATGTAAAGTCCTGGACGAAGGCATCCCTTCCGTTGGGAAAATAACCCTCGAGTCTTCACCGTAATCAAAAAAATTATACCAACCCGGTTGGGTAATGATTTGTAGATGTGGCGAATTTCGATCTTCGAGATTGCTTGACACACACGTTACAACTGGTGAGATCAAGGGACTGTCAGAGACACCTTTTCAATGTAGCTCAAATGTCAAATGTGCTGTACTGGGAAGAGATCTGGCGATCGCCCTCGATAAGGAAGTGTTTGAAACACACGTAGACAAGCTGTGGCCGAAACCGTAAGAAATGTGTTTCCTGGGAATGGCATCAAAACGGGAAAGGATGAAAAACACATTGGAGCTTAGAATCTTGTTGACGTACCACCGTGCTATATGGGTACCACGGATGACATGGGTTTGGCTACCAAATGAAATGGGACCAAATACCGTAACTTCTAGATGTTGGGATGTACCGCAGACGAGACAGGTGAATATCCCACTGTTTTTCTGGACATCTGCAAACATATCTTCTAGGGTCATCGGAGCTCAGTTCGAAGCATCATGCACCGCTGAAAAGTATTCTACTCCAATCCACGAGATTCTACATTCAGTGCGTCCAGAGCACTGTAAACGTGCCTAGCGGGTGAGAGGCAGTTGCTGCAATGGCGTGCATGACCTCAGCCCTAGGTCGTTGAGTTGCCTATCATTTGAGTTAGTGGTATCCCAATCGAATGTTGATAAGGACATATCAGGGACTGTGAGCACTGATAGGCCGATCACTCTATCCTCACCTTCTGTTGTCGCTCTCGGTCGAACGCTACCTTCTTAGTGCTCTGTACGACTATGGTTCACCGATTCTTGCTAACACTGTCAAATGATGGCAACGTTTCGACCCAAATGATCTGATCATCCTGCTTCTTTTAGTGTAATTGCACCATCACTTGGGTTATGCAGTCTCTCTGCAAAGACAGTTTAGATTGCTCCCGGATTATCTATGTCTATCAGCGAAAGTTATGAGATATGTGCATAAATGTTACGTTACTGTAAACATCCCGACGAACTGCAATTTTGGTGTTTATTATGTGCAAATCAGATAATTAGTACCGAAGAAATTAGAATTTAAATTTTCAACACATACGTTCGTTGCAAGCCCCTTGTTATAGGAAAATGGCAGGAAGTGGGGGGAAAAGTGAAGGGCCTATTTGTTTACTTTTTTTATAGTGCCATAATTCGGAATGTAATTGTCATCCATCCTCAATGCAAGTGTACCTGTGTAAGAATTATATTAATTTTATTAATAGTTAAATTTTGAGTTAATCCCTTAACCTACGATTTAGATTCGAAGATGTTGGGCCGAAATTGTATACAAGCTCGCTCAGATTTCAAGACATTTGCACGACTTGTGTAACACGCTAATCCGGGCAATCGTGAACATGACGAATTATGTAATTGTCGAAGAAAGTAAAGGCAAATAATTATTGATGATACATCCGATGACGATCAACTACCAGAATCCTGGCTTTGGAAAGAAATAAGAAATAGTCCAAAAATCTGGGACTATACGATGACTCCTGGCATAAGAGAGGAAGCCTTATGTCAATTAGGAGGAAGTAGAGGAGAATTTGACATATTTAATCTAATATTTGATGGCATATGTTGGAACAATATTGTAACAGAAACGAATCAGTATGCAGATCAAGTACGAGAAAATCCACATAGAACAAGAGTGTAAAAAGTGTAAAGTTCCGTTACATGTACCAGAATGCTTTGAAATGTATAATACCGTTACAGATTACTAATTTTGTAATTTGGAGTTTTGTATAAATAAACATTTTGTAATACTTGCGTCTACCACAATTATTGCATCAGACTGTAATTGCATATCAAATATTCCACGTAATATTTACTTCTGGCTCGATCAACGTACGCGGGCTATGCCCGTGGAAGTTAGGTTTGGCCCGACCATCGTACGTGGGCTATGCCTGTGAAAGTTAGGTTTGGCCTGACCATCGTACGCGGGCTATGTCCGTCTTTGTAGATTGAGGGGTTAAAGTTCATTTTCTGTCGATTCTTAACTTCAACTTACTTCTTCTGGCCAGAACATATTTTTAGAATCACGTCTGAATACATAATGAGGAAGAGCGGTATTTAACCGCGAAGTTCTTCGGTCATAGTGAGAGAGTTACCAGGTATTCTGTCTGCGCGCGTCCGTCTTTTTAGGCTACTCTCTCGTAAGCTATTATTACCCTCGGCCGTACTTTAGACCCTTGATATCTTCGCAGTCTATTAACGTTAAGTGGCCAACTCGGTTAGAATCTTCATAGCTTCGGCTATATCTCTTTAGTTAAGATTAGTTTAGTATTATTCTTAGTCTCTTAAGTTCAAACCCAAGTGTCGGCTTTATTGTACACTCCAACACGGAGTTTGTTAAACTTTAGATGGAATAATAAAGGGCTAGTTTACCCTTCTATCTTGTTGTTTCCTGTCACACGATCTCAAGCGGTTATTCGCTTATCAGTTCTTAAGATTCTTCACGTTCAACACTAACTCAGCATTACACTGTGAGGAATCCTACATCTGGATAGTGAGTAAGTTCCACCCTTCTCCTGTGAAGGTGTGGTGTTTGTAGTGAGTGTAATTGTGCGTTTCATCAGAGTAACTGTAATTAGTGACAACAAGTTCCATTTTCCTCGTATAATGTGTTAATATCTCCTCTTCTAGTTGGACAGCAATCTACATTCTTCATTGCCATGGTAGGCAATTTGATTATCTACATTTTGATATATCGAACTTGACATTATCCCAAATAGTTCTTAAGATATTTTTATTAACTGTGCAATTTTATGTGTTACTTCACCTTTCTGCTTGCCCAATAATTCCAGTCTGATTTCTAAGCGCAGGGTACATCCAAAAGGCTATAATTTACAGTGTTTATCTCCATTCAGCTCCATAGGGTTAGTACTATGAGTGTAAGCCTATCCTTCCTTTAGAGCGGATGCGCGTTTAACAGCTCTACCTACAGGATTAATTTGTAATCCCTCTCCATGCAGAACTGTTTATGTTTTACTTCCATTTACATTATCAGTAATATGATTCTGCAGTAGTAGTTCCCTATACTGTTATATGCATATCGGTTATTTTATTTGTTTTCATTAGGTGCTTTTTACTAAATAATAAGTATTAATAATCTTTACATGTATTTTATGTGATGTCAATTGATTCTTGTTTTTAATTGTATTATTTTGACACTGTAAAATGCATGTATTTTTTTTGACACATGCTCATACAAAGTAGGTGGCCCCAACTGAGAAAATGATTCTAGAAAGGTGTTTTGGAAGTCCCAGCCGGAAATTTTCTAATTAAGTGCGTTAGATTTAAAATCACTTTATACAGTTTTGGTGCGCTAAGCTCCCTAATTAGTTTAATTCACACTTGACCGCCGAAACCCACAATAGTTACAGCATCATTTTCATTTCAATTACTTTTAATTGGATTTAATTAGACTTTATTTCTCTTGTTTCTCCACTTCAAATAGCCGTTGCAGTCCCCTAATTTTTCCCGTTTTTCTCAGTTTTAGCTTTCACCAGATACTCAATTTATAGTTAATGCTGGCACACGTCCATCGACTCCATCTTGAGCCCCGCCTCCAGTTTTCCCCAAATAACTTCGAACTTGCAATTATTATATTGTTGCAATTACAGAGTGGTAAAACTCACTCTATTTTGTATTACATTGTATTTAAAAATCAGTATATAGTCACATAGCCTGTTTTGAATAAGTATTAACTAATAATTAATTAACTTTTATTCTGTTATGTATTACCTTCTGTTTAAAAAAATCAGTTTATAAGTCTATAGTCAGATAGCCTGCTTTGATTTTCTCTGCATTATAATCGATTATTATAATTTATAATTAATTAACTAGTTATGCAAAAGTGAAGCAACCCTGGTGGTTTTATACATAATTTCAGTATCAAAATTGGTCACATCTAATTCTCCGTTCAACATCTGTATTATCGCTTTCACTTGTCTTTATTGTATTCAGGTAATTATATGTTACCTGTTTGTCTCTTTGAAATATGTTTGTAGCCATTTCACTGAGTACAGTCTATTAACATAGGTTTCGCAAAGGCACGTATAATTTTTCCATTTTTCCTGTTAGGATTACTTATTTGAAACAGCTTATATGCATACACTGTGCACTCATGGCATCTAAAGATTCTTCAGCACGGTACTCAAATAACATTGTAGACGCCGCTAATAATCTCATTTCTCAAGGTGCAGATACTAGAAACAGCAAAATCTGGAGAATTAACTGAGGCAACCTCTCCAACTGCGAGGAAGCAGCCTTCCTGCCTAGCAATCGCAGAGAACATAGAGGAACCTTATAAGCAAGAAGCCTTACAAGAAATAAGCACTCTTCTTAAGCTTACCCTCTTTACACTAGTAAAGAAGATATATTATTACACCCTGAAGTGGTCATTGATAGTGAAGTACAATTCACGAAAATCGTCAGACGGAGGAAACACCAAAAGCCAGAACAGAGGCGGAAATCAATTCGCACCTCAAGTAAGTCAAAATTCATTAAAGCCTTCTTCTCCGGACCACGTTCTCCTGGTCAGTTCCACGGACTCGAATAGGATCCCCGAAAGTATACGAAATAAGATTGCTTCAGAATTAAGTACACATCAATTAGGGACAGCTATTATTCCAATTCGTACTACAAGAAGATCGCCATTTGAAGGAACTTGGCATTGTGATGTAAGCTTGAGTTGTGAGATTTAAATGAACTTGCTGATATCAGTCGAAGGAAACGTGTGGACATTTGTATCGATTTTTATTTATGGGGAAACATTCTTCTTTTTTTTAATGGTTCGAAACTTGCAATATTGCTTTGAGATGAAAGAGTAAAATTCTTGTTAAGGCACTTTTGAAGTTTTTTTCTCTAAAACGCAGACTGATTTGTTTAGGAATGTTATAATGCAGAGTTGGAAGAGTGCCGTTAATTCAGATATGGAATGTACATATACATCGGTGATTTAGTATTTTGCTTATTTTTTATTTCATGAAAACCTTCTTCAAAAAATAAAATTTTGTATGAGTTGACTTCAGCGGCAGCTAGATAGCTATTTTGCTAATTGACTTTCCAACTGTTGATGTCCACCACTTTCCGATTCCTTTTTCCCAGTTAGCAACAATTTCTATCACCTGCGAGATAGCAGCTCAAGTTCGGGACAGTTCCGGGCTTTCATTGACGTCATAACTCACGTAAAGTGTTTATAGTTCAGTACAGCAAATCGTACTTGTAACGTACATGCCAAATGAGTAAATTTAATAGGTAATAAGTATTTCACATGCAGCTACAATTTATTCTGAAGTGCAGTTTAAATATACAAAATGTTAAATTATTGGACAAATTAAATCACAGTTATAAAGAAATAATTACTAAGACTTAAATTAAGAATTAATTAGTGATTTCTTTACCCACAATTGTAAAGATTTAATAACGCGGAAGAATGAAATGTCATAACACAATTAAGGCATAAGTTAAATGCTGTCAGTTTACAGCTGTATTCTTCAAACTGTTATGCGGAACCCCGGAGCTCCGAGAGTCAAAAATTCGAAAAGAAAGTTATAAAGCCCCCATACTAATTAACTCGTGCTCATTAAAAAAAATAATAAATTTACTTATAGATTAATTTCAAAACTTCGCATGTGGTTATCATACGCCAAAGAGAATGACGTGCAGTGCTTTGCAAACCTAAACAGTTTCCTAACGAAAAATTAATTGAATTTAGCCTACAGAGTTAAAAGTTATATAACAGGTGATCATCTTCAGTTAAAAAAAGCTATAAAAGAACACTTCCTAGAAGAAAATACTAAGTATGATTGCATAAAAAATCCTTTTGAGTGTTGAAATAAGTCAGAAGGCTTGTCGGTGAAAGAAAGTGAAAGAACCTTTCGACATATCAAGAGATTCCACACTAAAATCTAAATTTAAGTAAGAGCAGCTCTTAAATATTTGGTTGTAGAGTCATGCAGAATACCTCGAAGTTTCTCACGCAGCTATAGCATTTTAATGCCATTTGGAACATCGTATTTAAGTAAAAAACTTTTCTTAACGTAGGTAGCAACGAAAAATATAGAAACCGATTAAATATAGAATATGAAATGCGGTTGGAGATAACATCAATAGAATTAGACTTCCTCAGTTAATGTAAAATAATTCAAGCACAGTACTTCACTAATTACAATACAAGGATAGGTGACACGTGGAACACGAGTTAATGCTATTAATGAGTAAATTATATTGATTTTAAGTTAAAATGTTTTAATAAAAAAACAGCAATTTTCTTTAATTGTCTTTACATAAATTGTACATAAATTGTCTAGAACATATTGATCTGCTTTAAATGTTATTTTAGGACATATTTTCGTAAGGGTGGCACTGGGCTTTCCAACCTTTGCAGTTCTTAAAGTTCCGTGAGATGACAAAGTTTGAAACCATTGCTTTACAGTGATGATTAAGTCAAACTCATAGATTGATTTGATTACCTTTATAATTTTGTAACTGTACGGCCTGAAAAACAATTATAAATCAGTTACCAAAGAATACAGTATAAATGGCTCCGTAGAAGTATATCAATACCTTGTGTGTATCTCAAATCTTAAAACTAACTGTGTAGTATTGTTTGTTTTAGGTCATCCCATGAGCGGGATATGTTCAAAAGACCAACAAACCTGGGACCGAGGAGAGAAATTTCAGAACAAAACTAAGGAAACCAATTAAATCACTGCCTATATACGAAAAATGTTTTTATAAATTTCTTGCGCTTCGGATAAATGACTGAATTAACAAATTGTGGTGCTCATTTACGCTTTATTTAGTTTTAGTTCTTTTCTCCTCCTGGTAGTATCAAGAGGAGAAAGTGTTTTCCTCCATCAGGGAAACCAGTGTTCAGTCATAGATTGCCTTCCACAGAATTAGCCAGGAAGAATAACTGCAATGGAATATTTGTTGAGAACTTTTAGTATAAATCCTTATTGTGATAGATGAAAATAAATTTCTGTACATAGTCTAATTGCACTACAATAAATATCTGCCAAGATCTATAACTATCTCATCTTTTCTGTGATTCGCTTTAGGAGACATGCATAATTTCAGAGGCGTAAGTTGGAAGTATACTGCTTAGGTGTACTTTATTCTTGCAGAAAACTAAGAGATGGATTCCGAGTTGTTATAAATGCTTTCTAAGTAACAATTATTCCAAATTGATAACTAAATAATTATTTTGAGTGCATCTTATAAAGTCGTGTATATTAGACATAACTTTGTATGGTTTTTTTTTGTAACTGCAAGCTAGAATGTAAGTGCTGTAGTTCTTACTAGACTATTAGCGGCTTACTGCTACATCTTAAACAACTTACAAAATACTGGAGAATGTTAAAAATAGCCTTTTTATTTAGTCTTAACTTCAACAGAAAAGTCAGGTTCAAACGTAGTCAAAGACTGCACATAAAATAGATTGAACTAAGCTGGCTAAAAATTTTACCAGCGCGTATTTTAAGACATACTCTAGAAAAACTCTAAACAGAGCAGGTGTGAATAACTAACAGCAAGACGTGATTACCAGAAGCTCTAATCCAAACAATTCAAAACTCTTTAGCTTAATACAGCCAAATCTAACCTACAGTTTCCCTTCTTGTGAGAAATGTGGAAAGGAGAATATATATTGAAGACATAATAACGGTTTACTTATTATATGTTACAATTAATTTGCTAAACCCATGTTCTTTTTTGTCATTTGTATCATAAAATAATTTCTTTTGTTTATATAGCCGATATAAATTATTGTGTTTTAACTTGAATTTTATTTATTGTAATATTTAGTTCATTTGAAAATGTAGGTGCTGAGAGAATACGTAAAGTGAAACGTAGGAGAAAGTTGATAATTGATCAAGTGAAAAGCTTATCTACCGAAGAAATGAAATTTCAAATTAATAACATTACTCATAATGTAGCTACAATTGATTTAGCTCCACCAACAAAACGCTTAATGCTTTGGAAAGAGACTGGCTTAGTAGAAAAGTTACTTTATCGTCCTGGCCATCCACTTCTTTCTAAAAAACTTTCTGAAGTAAGTACGTAACAGTATCTATAAGCTGAAAATTTTTCTGTATATATTTAGTTGATTTAAGTAACATAAGAGATTTTTCGTACTGGCGTTTTCAAGAAACTACATCCTAGAGCTAAATAATTGCAAGTTTTAATAAGTGACTATTTAACCTCACCAATTGTGTATACATAATCAGATACCATAGTAGCAGAACAATGGCTTGTGACTTCTATAGTAAATTTAATTCTGCGATTACGCGTATTATAGCTTTCTTTTTTTTCCACCTGAATCTTTTCTTTTTGTACATGGTTCACGTTAATTCAAGCCTGATTGAGATAGATATTAAATCTAGCGCAAAACTGACTATTGCACAAATTAATGGATAAGACTTGACCCATGAACCCTTGCTGAATGTTTAAAATAAAAACTATTAGAGCCAAAGTACGAAATAATCTGAAATATAAATTGGAATCAGTCAGTATTTAAATAAAATGCATACAAGTTAATAAAGATATAGAAATGCAATCCTTACATGATTCTGTATCCTATCTGTCCTAAAATGCGAATGTGAAAAGTTTTAATTATAGTTCTCTGTAAAACATTACTCAAGTGTTTTGAGAATGTAAATACCTTGGCAGATGAGTTTAATTCGTAAAATAAGATCGTAAGCCGATCTGCTTATATCTTGAAACACTTTTTCCCTGTTAAAAGGCGTTTAAATACTATCAATACGTTCCAGCCCACAGAATAACCGTCTCACTTTTCTTATTATGTTTATAAGTAAGACAGAATGCATTGTATTGCATAGAAAACTAGTTAAAATATATAAAACTTAATACAAACATATAAATGAGAATGTAAAGAAATAAAGAGGTTTTTTTTAGTTACTGTAGTTAAATTACATACATCGCATTTCATTATTCTTCATAGATTGCCACTCAAACTTCAGTTGAAAGGTGGTTTGTTCTATCCTGCCTTTAAGAGTGTTTCTGAAATGTGTTAAACAAGTGTCATTAAACAGCTCATCTCCAGGATATGTTTAGTTTTTTCTGGGTATTTATTTGTTTTCAATAAACTCGTTAACTGCCTCCCACATTCCCAAAAAGTCCTTCATTTCAGCTGAAGATGCAGACTTCTCTAATTCCCCGCCCCGCTCGTAAGTTCGTTTGCGTCTTCCTCATCCATCTCCAGACCAACGGCTTTATCGAGGGACACAATCTCTTTCAGTACTTCCTCTACGGGTTCGAGTTTGAATCCTTCAAAATCCCTACAGTTTCTTTAATGCAGATTTCAAGGTTTTCCTTGAAACATGCTATATTGATAATACGTAGGCTTATTGCAATATTTTAGTGATCCTTCAAGAACCCTCAATGAGTTTGTGACCACTGTCACGTCAAAGCAGCGGAGAAAATGCGTTTGGTGAAAAGGGTTTTAAATGCTGGTCTACGGGCTTTAATATAAGAGTGGTAGTAGAGGTGGAAGATAGAGAACAAGTTCACCAAATTTTAACTCTTCGAAGATGTTTTCTTCTGAGTTTCAGTAGGGCGCAGAAGCATTTTCAAGAACGAGAAAGGCTTTCATGTTTAGAATATCGTACTCCAGAAATTTTTAAAGAACAGGATCAAAGATCAGGATTATCCATTCTACAAAGAACTACCTTATGACCCACTCCTTCGGGTTTGCCCTCCACATAACTTGGAGCTTCTTTTTTGGGCCTTAATTGCCGGGAGATTTTCTGGATAGTATATGAGCAGCAGCTTTATTTTGGTCGTCACTCACATTTGCAACACTGTTTGAGGGTAAATGTCTTTCCTAGATTTATGGCTTGGCATCTTTGTCTTTTTACCGTTATATGCTATCCTGTGTTTAGAACTTTGTCGTGTCAAAGTCGGACTTGCGGAGGGATATACATTTCGGCTTTTATCACAGCTGGAAAGATTTCGAGAGATTTCACCGCTACTATCATGTCTGAGTTCCCTGCTTCACCGTGCCTGAAGACGGAGTGAATTCCACTTAGCTCTTTAAACTTTTTAAATCAGCCCCAACTTGCCTTGCTCTTTGGATTCATTGTTGAAAAGCTTAGGGTCATCCACAGCAAATTGGAGTGTATAATTCGTGTCTTTTCGCAAATGATCACCTCGGTCACGGTACCTTCTTTGAGCTACTATCAGGTATACCAACAATTACTTCGCCGTCTTTTTTCATTTACAGCAATCCACTGTTTCGATATTGTTGTATTGTTCTTCACTGGCTCATCGCTTGGCCAGGGTGATTACGCGCATACTTTGTCCATGTTTATCAGGGATTTCATGCTTTAATTCTAAGAGCTAATAAGCTTCTTCGTATTACTTACTTTAGTAGAACCTATTGTAACAAATATTTGTATATAAATATGAGGTATAAAATGTGAAAGAAAACTACTAACTTTAATTTAACAATAGTCCTTTAAGTTCCTCGTTTTAATTTGACTACACCCTTTCTTGTTCTAAAACTATGAGTCTAAACTACGTTATCTGAAACTTAGCCGCATTATGTCCTTTTATTAATTCTGCAATGCAGTTAGCTCTTCTCCAATTGCCTTTCAAAATTTAAACAAAGAAATCATTTCTATAAATACACTTTGCTTAAATGTGCACTACTTTGCCTTGTGCTTTTGTTCTGCTTCCATGTGTCATTAGATCTCCGTTTTATCTATTGCTCGAGTTACGATCAGATCATGAATTGCGAGGCTTTTGTCGCACCCGCAGTGATGTATCCTCAGAATAATTACCGGGAAAGTCAATTATGGTTTGTTATCGACGGCAACCAAGTTTTCCCCTGTTGTGTAATTCTATGTATCTACACTATCTTCAAGTACTGAAGTCAACTATAAAACTATCACAATTAAACTAATTATTACTAAAAGTAAGCAACTCAAGCCTTAAAGTTAATTTATCTCATAGTATCTTAAAGCTAATAGCAAAATAGTTCGCGAAATGCATATCATAAAATTAGATGACAATATTAAGGCTTATAGTATCGTATGGATTGTACTACTGGAATCTTAAAAAGTCCCAATTTTAACTATAAAAAAATAACATCTTACATGTTTTGCAAAATAAAAATTTTAAAACTTAGGATGGTATTTTAAATTGCCTCTCAAATCGTTGGCATTCACTCTGTAACGTATTTGCGTTGCTACGCTACCAACATAATTCCACTAAGAAACGTAAATTACCGCAGACGATTATCTGCAAAGAATATCCACAGACGATGCACGTGCTTAAAAATGTTTTTTAGTTATTCTGTAAGTTTTGACTAATATAAAGCTGGTTGTTCGTTCAAAAATGGCGAGATTTCTTTAAAACTTCATTACAACTCGTTACAAAACTTTCAGTGGAAAGTGTTTAAGCAGTTTATTCATAAATATTTCTAATGTTTTCAGAAATGATGTAAGTCATCCTGAAATGATGACAAGAACGGTGTATTTGCATTTTTTACCATCTTCCAGAAGATGCACGCAGAAGTTGTCTACCAGAGAATTTTAATGTAGAAGAATATGCCTTCTTATGTAGGCCCGCGGGTACATGTCAGTTTGAAGTGCCAAGCTTTCAATAAGTCGGAGTCTTCTAGTCTTTTCTGTTCACTGTAACTATGATGTAATTAGAGATTTTGCTTTTGGAAATCGTCTTCCATTAAAAAATTGCAAATGTGGCAAGTCGGCAATCACTGCTAACATTACTGCGCCCTATGCCGTGGACATTTTCAGTTCCATCAATTTTTACTAATACATAAGACGCCCTCTTTAGATAGACTATAATGTTGCTAGGCATGTCAAAAGATACAGAAGTTTATTCTGCGTTTCTTATGAGGTCAGGATTTGTAGTCCGAATCTTTGCTTTCTTGAATCTAAATTTATGAAATTCTAAAACGGTTTTTCACCATATATTTGTAACAGCTGTTGTGCAAGCATTGTTCTTCTTCTGAAATCAAGTCTATTTCGTCTCATGAACGGGAGGCTCCATTCTGTACTTACTTTAAATTGCTCGATAACCACGCTTCTTCATTAAGTAGACTAATTTTAGAATTTAGGGGAACTAACTTACTAAACGCCTTGAGGAAGTGGAAAATCAGACAATACTTAAAACTTCTTCCGAATCTTGTGCTAAAAACACCTGTGTGGAGAAGAATACGCCAGGGTAAAAAATACTTCATTCGTAAGTACTGGTATATTAATTCATTCCTTATTATGTTTCATTTTTTCATATGTCTGTGAAATATAGAAAGAAGCTAAATGGAGAGTATTTTTTAGATATATAAACGAAACCTAACTATTCGTGTCTATGAAAATGAGGATGTTAGAACTGGTCATACTGAAACACAAGATGGTAGTCTAAAAGAAAGAAGAAATGCAGGTGAACTTCACGGTAAGAGAAATTAACTTTTGTTCCGTATTTATGCCCTTATTTAAAATATGAGCTCCGTCGTAGTTCTCATATTTCATTATTTCTTTGCGCAAACTGAACTTGCTGGGTAAGATTAATTTACTTCCTTTAATAAAGTATATATTTACGTAGCCAATAAAAGACCAAACATATTAAATAAAAACTAATTTTATTTCTAATATATACTGTGCAATAATTAAATAAAGTACTGTATTTTTCTAAGAATTCCACAAAAGCTCACAGATCAAAACTGCATGGCATGTTATTTTTCCATTGAACGGTCACATGAGTTTTAATACTGTGATTTACGTCATTCAGTCAAAAATCGTTGTTCTAATCTCAACTACACTGCATAACAATTTTTCTTTATTCATGTCTTTTCTCGGATAGGCGGTTTCTAGCTGGAAATGTTAGCTACGCGGCAATGTCGGCGTCCATCCTTTTCTCCAAACAGCAATACCGGCTTTAATCCCCAGTTTGGCTTGAATTATAATTGTTTCTTGACCATCAATAAGGTGCAACTCTCCGTCATAGTGCATTACGTTAGGTTTAAAAGAAGGAGGTCTTTTCACACGCACCACTACACTTTCTTTATCACTTCGTAGGGCCTTTTCCAGGATGTCTGTAGCTTCCGAGAGATTCCATGACGACACTTTGCGTTGTAAACCTAGACTTAAAGCTCTAATCTTTGGTTAAAGCTCTAAGATGTCCGCTGCCTGTCCTCGTAAACAGGCTGCCGTATTTAACGCTTTGTAGACAGGATTTCCCTGATTTTCCCGAGATATCATTTGGTTTTACACTTTCCATGATGACTTCCCGTCATATGGCGACAACTAAATTGCGGGATGAGATAACTAGACAGGAATGTTTTTCAAAGCGGAATGAGCTGGAACTTTCAAAGCAGGCTGAGCTAGCACGTTGTTGATGGATGTAGGCAGTTCTACAAATTTTTATTCTATTTTTTTCCTCTAGTTTCTTCTGTAGTCTTTCGTTCATTCTCTTGCTTCAGTTTTTCGTTCATGGCAGAATTCTCTCTTTTCTTCTACAGAGGCAACTTTCTTATTCATAGCACTGACAACTTTCCTTTTAACTGCGACAATATTCCTCTCCATCTCATCGGCCTTTGCTACGATGGAGTTCTTCATTTCTGCAGCATTCGCTTCTATCGAGGACTGAATTTCTGTTTTAAGTTCAGCGCTATTTCCGTCGAAAGAGTACTTCAAATCGACAGAAGTTTAAGTGAATATTTTATTAGAGCTTTCAACTGTTCGTCCATCCTTCTGGTTGATGGCATTCAAAGAAATCCCATATTACGACACCAGTTATTACAAGCTAAGAGATCGTTAATGTTTCTTTGAATAGCAAGTTCAGATAAGGAGGATGATTAACAATTTATTAGGAATATAGTCGGAATGAATACATGGCACAGTAAATGTTGGAAGTAATCAATGAGAACTCGAATATGTAGTAATTCCTTTTTAACACACGAAATAAGTCGTAAAGTTCCTTAGATGAATCTCAGGATAAACACAAACTCGTATTTCAGCTAAACGCTGAGCCTCACAGATAGTTCGCAAATGATTCACTATAACACCTCATCTCTCCGACTCGTGTGTTGAATAAGATCTCTCAGTCTTGTTCTATCACCTTTGGACGTAGTCAGCCTTCCTCCAAAAGCAGTATCTGAGTTATTTTCCTTCTTTCTTCCTTTTTCTTAGTAGAGTTAGGTGGGCAGGTGACAACAGAAATTAAGGGTCATTAATTGATCACGAAAATCAAGAAGGTTTCCCAGAAGTATTATCTGAAATAGCAAATAAGTGAGGATGACTTTTTCCTTCCAACTTTCTTTTCTGCTGCATCGTATTTGTGCAGGCAGAATGCTGATGGACGATGACCCCTTTGAATATGTATCTCTGACAATAATGCCTAAAACTGCATTAAAACGTTCCTTTCAAAGAAACCTAAATCTTCTGCACAGAAAGCAGTGTAATATGATTCGTGCATAATTTTTGGCACAAAACATAATAATTTATGATATATTATCTGTTTTAAATGCTGCTCTTTTACTCTGCAGCAAGGGCTATGGAAACGTCTGAATGAATCTGTCGTAGGGCTTTGAAAATGTGTTTACTAATCCTTCCAGAAATATGTCAGGTTGACGAGAAATCGCAAAATGTTGTCTTGGTCCCTCCGGAACGAAACTGGCTCGATCTCGAGCTCTTGTTGAGCTGTTTTTAAAATTCCGAAACCATTGCGGTCAAGAAAATCTATAATTCTGTGCAACAATTTAATAAAGACAAGGTATGTGGCCACGAATTACATAAAATGAACCATAAAATTACCATTATAAAAATAGTAAGTTAAACAATACAAGTGGTTGTGTAATCATTAATGTAAACCTCAAAATTATTTTTAGTGTGAGCAATTTAATGTAATTTTAACCAATATTAATAGTAATGGCCCCGGAATAAATCGTGCACGATTTTTTGATTATTGTGATGTATTCTGAAAATTCTAGAAAAAAAAGCTAATAGAAGATAATAAGGCAGAGATAGTAACTGATGCTCTAATTTAAGGCGGGAAATGAGTCAGTCAGTCAAATGCATAGGGAAAACTAAAAATATCATGGCTACATTTTAAATACGTGTGTCTGTCGTATTCAGTAAACCGGTTTGTTGAAATAACCTTCGCCTTTACTTCCTAGAAAAAGTATTCTGATGGAAAATTCACTTGAGATACGATACGATAGTGCTTGCTTATTATTTATTAAAGCTGAATTCTTTATTAAATTCTTAGAGATTATTGATCTATTATTAGTTGAGAAATCTAATACAATATTAACAAAACCCATTGTTTTAATTTTAACTGTTCCTGCGTTTGCCTTTCTTTTTTTTACTGGTTAGGGAAAATAGATAACTTCAGTAACCAAGAAACATAACTTTGAGTAGCGAACTTAATTGTGTTGAATGTCTGTATTTATTTCCTCAACCTTTGCAGTCGTATTTATTTCCTCAACCTTATTAATGTAACTATGTTCTACCTAGATGAGAGTGTCATTCAAAACATTAACGGAAAAATTTAGTCCATGCATTACAGTTAAGAAATTTAAAGCAGGGGCTGAATTGTGGTGGATGAACGCTGCTTTTTCAAAGCAAACGCTTGAAATTTCTTGCATCAACATAAAAGAAAGAGTTTTATATTACTCCAGTGTATCGTAATCTTTAATTTTGTGTTTTTCTGAATGGAAAATTAAAAAAATTAAGTGCGTTTGCATTTTATTTAGTGTCATTCTAAATATTTTTTTAAAATTTATAATCGAAGCCGAGAAGAGCAAGTATCACCTTGAAATCTTTCTTGTCTTACTCATTGCTTTTTAGGTACTTCAAAGCCATCATTCCGAAATAGTAATGCATTATCTCTTTCTTCTGTTAAAGTTCCAAGCAAATTGCAGCCTGATGATCCTGTATTTTCTCCTATGTCATCTCCAGAAAGGCTTGATGAATCTCAGAAGCAGCTGTCACCTGATGCTTTGACTTCAGAGATTATTCATCAGGTATTTTAAATTGATGTAAATCTATTAAGAAATTTTTCTAGTCCAGTCATTTAAAATATTTCTTTCAAAGATATAAAAGCTCTCAAAATGTAATATATTGAATGATGTATTGATATACGATAGCTGTGTCGATGTTTTTAAAAGGATTGAATGATAATTTGCTGAAAACTTTCGAAGTCCATAAAAGCTGTTGGATTTAGGAAATGTTTAATTGTGCATGCGTTACCGGGCAACAAAATATCTGAAAGGCGACGCAGATGGTATAGTTGTTTGGCAAACTTAACTGCGATACCGGGTTCTCATCCCGGAGAAAGCATGAATGTAAAATTGTCTATCCCTTCATAACAAGTGACGGTGGTCGCCTATTAGGTGCCTGCACAGAAAATGGCTACCACTTCTGACCTTAGGAGTGGCCAATGCCGATATATACATGTGCCCGCTATAGGAGGGGAGATTTTCTTAAAGACCTACCTATAAGAATTGTGACATGAGAAAGTTCTATGAAGTAGTACTGGAACATTAGAACTGAGAAAGAGCTTAACAAAAGTGTGGTGGTAGATCAGTGTGGTGGGATTTGTACAGCTGTCAGAAAATCATTTCAACGCAGCTGAAAGGAGTTACAAAATTGGTGGACTAATTCCAAAATCCAAAATTCAACTAGTTAGCTCTCTATTTGCTGGTCTCCTCTTTTCTGTGACCTTGTTAGGAGTTCCGAAGACTTTGTAGTCTTGCGTGACTTTATTTGTTGTTTGAACTTATTTATCGAGTATTATTATTTACTTGAGTGGATTTTAATATTTTATGTGTCATAGTATTATTTCGCGTATTATCTATGTATGATTACTTTATACTCGTATATTGATGTATGTATTGTTGATGTATTATTTTTTCTTTGTATCAATATAATTTTGAAGTATTATATCATTTTTACTATTGCTGTATTATTATTAAGTTGTTTTATGTTTTTATAAGAGTATTAACACAGTTAATGTATTCTTATTATAGTATTTTCATTATAGTAGTATTTGTATTTTATATTTTTTACCTTTGCTGTCTCCAGACTTAGATGTTATGTTTTTATTGTTGAATGTTATCTCCCTGTAATTATGAGTTACTTACTTACATCTAGAAGCCTCGTGGAATTCTTCGTGGAACGAGAGGAGTTTTAAATTTAATTGTATTTGTTTTCTTAAATAAGAAGATAATTGTTCGTCGATTATCATAAGAAGCTTTAATGCTATCAATATTCCTTAAACTTCCAAAAAATCATGTTTTTAAATGTTATGTGTACTCAAATTAATTAGCACGTTTTTAAATTGGTATTGTTACGAATTTTGTATATTTGCATAAAATTTTAGTGAAATTATATGTAAAATGGTAGTATTTTTTTATATAATGTAACGTGAAAATCTGAAGGGGCTATGCTTTGGCGGAAAAGTAAGAATACAGGGGCAAGTCTATTTAACATTGAGTAACTGCCGATCTCACTAAATTAGTGATATATTCCAAGCTAGTGATGGTTTTGGTAGCACATTTTTGTCGCCAAATTTGGCGAAAAATCCGAAAACGTTGCCAATATTCGCTACTATTTTGCGACATTTTAGTCAGGGTCCTGGGTAACTGTAATCGGTATTGTAACTAAATAACCGTAATTGATCATCTGTGTAACTGCATCCGGACCTAATATGCATTCCATTAGTTTCGAGAGGTACTAGAGATTTCTGGGCGGCCAGGGAAAAATTATGTTAGACCGGAGAAAGCATCAGTTTCTTAGTTGTTAGTTCAGGGCCGATTACGGAGGATTGGCGTATCTGGTAGAGCTTCGCTTTTTTAGATTCCCTTTGCATCGCGTTGTGTTTAACCTTCTTAGTGTTGTAAAGTGTAATTATTGTTTGTACTTGTTGATACTGCGAAAGTACGTTTCATAAAAACAGTCGAGTTGTACGACTATTTTTGTGGAAAATTGCAGAACTGTGAAGTGGTTCTCTTAATATAATACATTTTATTTAGTTATCATCCGTTCTGTGTGCATTCATTTTGTTACAAACCCGTGCGCACACAACAAATTTTGATGTTAGAAGTGCGATGAGAAGGCACGGGTAAAAATTTAAATCTGTCAGGATAGCTTCCTATTCTTGCTATGAGTCTTCCATCTAAGGTGTCTTCTTTGGGGGAAGCAAAAGCTCTGTGATCGATTTGTTGTTCGACGGCAGAAACTCTTGTCTTTTATTCGTTGTTTGACAGAAGAAACTCTTTCTTTAATCTCTTCAACTTTGTTTTCAACCGTGTCTGTTCGGCCTCCCATAAATTCAAATTTATTTTCTGTTGCGGCAGTAATTTCTCTTTTCATTTCCTCTTGACATTCTTCAGTGTTTTCTTGAAGTGACATGACTGCTTCTTCCATCTTTACTTGGCCCGTTTCAGTGTTTTCTTGAAATGACATGACTGCTTCTTCCATCTTTTCTTGGCTCGCTTTCATTTATTCTTGAAATGACATGACTACTGCTTCTATCTTTTCTTGGCTCGCTTCCATCTTTTATTCTTGAAATGACATGACTACTGCTTCCATCTTTTCTTGGCTCGCTTCCATCTTTTATTCTTAAAATGACTGACTACTTCTTCCATCTTTTATTGGTTTGCTTCCATCTTATCTTGGCTTACTTCCATCTTTTCTGGAACTGTTTAATCTCTTGTTTAACGGAATTGAGGCCCCATCCATCTTTTTTTGGAATGCAGCAGAGGCAGTCACAAGATGTTTTAGTTGTCCCTCTATTGCTCTTGTCACCGGCATTCAATCTCATTAAGGAAAACAATTGTTGCGTGCATATAGGTTTGTAAGAGAATGAATGCACGCATAATCGATGAGAGCTTAACGAAATTTATTTTACCAAAATAATCACAGTTCTGGAATTTTCCACAAAAATAGTCGTACAGCTCTTCACAGTATCAAGAAGTGTAATGAAACAGATGCATTCTCCTGGCTTATATAGCTTTGCCCCAGTCGTCGAGAAATCTTTAGTACTCGATTTTACTGGAAGTCGTATGAGGGCCAAATACGGTTACAGCTGCGTAAAGGATAAATTGCAATTATTCGCAATATCCATTACAGTTATGTAGGGACTGTACCAAAATGTCGTCAAATGGTCGCGAAAATTGGCGATCTTTTGCGATTTCTAGCCAATTTTGGTGAAAAGAATTGAAACCGTCGCCAGCTCTTTTATCTTTCCAATTTAGCGAGATAGCCATTTACTCAATGTTAAATAGACGTACTCGTAATTTACTCACATTTCCGCCAAATCATCGCCTCATTTCATTTCATTAAGATTTTCATGTTACATTAATCCAAAAATAAATTCTGCAGTTTTATGTATGTATATTTACTAAAAATATTTGTAAACTTAGAAAATTCGTAACAATGTATTTAATTACGAAAACGCATTCGAGCGTGGCTGTTATGGTATTTCACTTAGATTTACAATCCAAAACTGTTGGTAACTTCTTTTGATAATTTTTGCTGGGAGAATTATGAATTAAAGTATTTATAAGTAGAAAATAGTTAAACATTTTTATAATACTTTATTTTCGTCAAGATTTTGTTTTCGTGAATGACATTATCGTTTCGAGTAAACGCGTTATTTAATACAGGAAACAAACTAAAATTTAACAATAGAACTTCTATTTATAGATTTATAGTTTCAGTTTCTCTCATTTATGATTTCTGCATCGTAATCTTTTTGTTTCGCTCTTTTTCGCTACTTCCTGTGGATTCTTTAAATTTACGTTTATTTGAAATATTAGGAAGAACATGAGTTGAATATTGCAATAAAATTATAATAATAGAGAATTTATTGATTAAATATGTAAGGAAATGAAGATGGAGAAAATACATTAAAGCAACAGCGGAGAAATCGTAAATCATTTTAAGAGCAAAGAAGCTAATTTACGAAATCAAAAGGCTCATCTAAAGCTGCTGTCATTAGGTTATAACATAAAAAAACAAAAACAGAAGTTACTTATAACTGAATATGGAAAAATTACAAAGGTCTCAACCAATATTTTGCAAATTTCCTTAAAATAGTTAATAGCATTAAAATCGAAATAAGAAACCGTGGGTTTCCTGGTGACGATTTTTTTTTTTGGTTTTTCAGAGGGGGGAAGTGAAATTATAGAAGGTAAATATTGGTTCAACATCGTTAATGCTTATTTCTAAACTTCATATGTTACTGTTTCACTAGGGAGCTAAATAATTTCCCTCTTAGATCCATTTTCATTTTAGAAAAGAGAGTTTCATATTAGGCAAGACATTGAATGTGATATGCAAGAGCAAATGTTATCTTACTGAATGAAAAATTTAAAAAATGCTGCATGGGCAAGCACGTTAGTTGAAATGGCAGTCAACAGTTCCTTATTTTGCTCAATTCGTTTGATAAAATTCACTGAAATGTGCTTTGAAGACAATCCAAAGAACCTCACAAACATTATAGAATGATGTACGTACGAACTTCTAGGATTATTTCACGCACTCTTGCAATGTTCTTAAGTAGATATGCTACTTCTTGATGTTTCATCTTAGCCATTTCGATTTCAGCGGTACTAGTTTCAACCGAGTTTAAAATTAGGCAGTTCATTTAACGCTTTGAAGATAAGCTACCAACTTATTGTTCTCGATTTTCGTTTCCAAAAGTTTCAGAGGAGTTTTTGCTTTCACCTACATTATGATATTCATTTGACGGTAAATATATAATCACTTAGAAGCGCACAAACGTATCCATCGGTACTCATTGCAGTTTAACATAACATGGCAGTTTAACATTACTTTAAACCTAAATCCCAAACTGACTGTAGATAGTGAAAGGTAGTAGCTAATAAGTAGCTAACTTGTCAGCAGCTGGAAAGTCACAAACTAAAAAATCATTGACAGAATGAAAAGGGCAGGCATTATGCTAGATAAATTTCCTTCTTTCCTTGTTTTCTGTTTTCTCTGCGCAAATGAAAAACCTTAAATATGCCTGCAAACTTAAAATGCAAATTGTTTCCCAAATTTACTTTTTCCGAATGTAATGATATGTACTAATACAAATAGCAGGAGAATAAATTTAAACACTTCGAAATAGAAAACTAAAATTCTGTAAGGTCACGCCTCATACTTTCAACAAAACTGCCCGACTTCCATCATACTTAAAATGTTCAGGGTTATGAAGGGTTAACAAGGAACGAGACTGTATTGTTATCTTATGATATGATGAGGTATTCAAAACAAAAAAGAGGAGCCGTGGTATATTGAAGTTTCACTATATCGTTGCGTGCGTACGGGTTCGTAATAAATTGAATGCACAAGTCCGATGAAAAGTAAATAAAATTTATTATTATCACAACAAATAAAACAAAATGCTGAAATGTCTTCAAAGACATTCGTACAATATCGCAGTATCTCACAATATTTATATTTTAAACTACTTAAACGTTTTACAGAACACAATTCAAAACAGAGAAACCTAATCCGATCTCACCCCGAATACGCTACAATGAACAATAAGAAATAAATAAACAACTACTAAAGAACTGAATTGAGATGTTTTCCTCCACCTTTTAGAAGCTTTTTAATCCTGCACGAGAATGTTCCGGTATTTTCTCGATTTTTGTGGATAGTAAAAGCAAATATGAGATATCTATTTATTAAATGTTAAGAGCGCGTGTCCTGTATTTTAATTTTTCCCTTCTCTTCGAATAAGTCTCGTGCTGCATTGCGCGGGGACATAAAACAATTTTAATTACAAATTCTACTAAAAATTGATAATAAATACAAAAACCGTTACAATATAAAGCAAATAAGTAAAATTTCATTGAAATAAAATTAAAAGTAATCTATAACATTTCTCATTTATGGATTATTTTTAAACTGGGTTTTGGATTTATTATTGATTTTTTTTAAATGTTGTAAAAGTGATAATAAAAATAATGCATAACTAATATTTCATTAAGGTTATACTAGTATAAACGTTAAAAAATGTTATCTTATTTTACAAGTTACTTCATAGCTGAAAGTTTCATATATATGGTTCAGGCAATTTAATAAGTTCTTTGATTGATATGGAGTTAAGCGTATTACTGTTTTTTTGATTACATAGCTATAAAATCTGTTCGATGTTTTACAGACTGAAGCCATGTTTTTTTTATCAGTTATCTGTGTTTCTTTTTTACATAAAGTGTGCTGCAAAATATTTTGCAACAGCGATTTTATACTTTATACTTTATTGTATGGCTTTGCGTTCTATTTCAGCCTGTGTACACTAATGGGGATTAAATATTTGTAAATAGATTTACATGCTTCATATAATATATATGTTTACCTAGGTTGCTCATCTCTCAATTACTGAACCGGTCTCTAAGGAACTGCTCTGTGATAGCACCTTTCATTCATCGGAAAATCACCACTCATCTGTTAAGCAGTTACCTGGACATTCAAATATTTTTGTTCAACAGAACCAAGAACAGTCGCAGACTCCAGATAATTTTTCCCGGAAGAAAACTGATTTCTGTGCGTATTCTGATGGGCAAGAGTTGGCGTTAGGTATTGTTGCCCATCAGAAGAATTCACTGCCACGTGTTGAAGTAGGTCAAAATGTATTATCATCCGGAGTACTTGTAGTCCAGCCATGTAGTGATCATTCAAATACAACTTGTGCTAATGAACGAAATAATAAATCTGCTGAACTAAATTGCGTACCAAGTGAGGACATCAATCTAGAAAATGATCCGAAAGCTAAATCAAGTACTTCACGTGATTCCCTAAACAGAGAAGAAACTCAATTTCGAGAGCGTGATACTACTATGTTACAGCAGGAAATTTACGAATCTTCAGTCTTTGATTTCCATGGATGGAATGATACATCATCAAGCACTGAATCGGTAAGTATACTGTTTTTTATGAATGAAAACATGAAAAATTAATTGAAATGTTTCAACTGCTAGTCCTGTCAAATGTATAACAAATAAATTTGCCGGTGCTTCATATCAAAATTAAGAAATTGTGAAGGAACGAATTGCTTAGTGTTATTTACTTTGTGCAGGCATAACTTTCATTTTTAGCTAATTAACAGTCCCATAATGATTACAACCGAGAACTAAGGACGTAAAATATACTTACTTCTTCGTAAATTAATCTTATCTTCGTAAATTAATTTTATTTATTTAATTGAACAAAAATATTTAAAGTACATTTTCATTGTTATTACAGTACAAAGTCCGAAATTTGGACTCGTCGGGACTTCGGCGATTCCGGATTTGGGGTTTTTTCGGATATTAGACTTTAATTGAAGAGCTGAGAAATAATAAATGAAAATTGAAAATTTGAAATAATATATTTGTTACTGTATCAAATTTTAAAGAAAGAAATTTTTTTGTCATGTAGGTTTATATTTATTTTAACTAACATTTATTTTAAGTTTAAACTATCTTTCCTGTCAAGCCTTACTTTCCCCTGGAACTGCCAATGCCAGAGTATGTAAATTTTAGTAGAACGCGCAAGGATTCAAATTATCAGCGGAAGTATTCTGAGTTAAATAGAAAGGAAACGAGTTCGAAGGTGTGCTGTTCTTACTTCACGAGCGCGGAGGTAGTTAGCCAGAAATTGAAGAACCCCGCGTTTCGGCCTGTGTGCTTGCCTCGGAGAATTGTTAATCGTTCAACGTGATATTCAAAGTTTGCTGAATTAGCAGCGGTATTGTAAAACGCGGTGAGGTTAGTTACTTTTAGAGAGCCTCGTAGTTAGAGTCTTGTTATTATTTCTTTTCAGGTTCTTATTTTTTATTTTACCGCCGGGTCGGCGTAGTTTGTGAGCGTCAAGAGCACGCATTGTAATTTCTTAAGTTGAATAAAAAGGGACTTAAACCCTTAGCAAGACTCTGTCTATTTTCCAGTTTCAACAGTCACCTCTTGGTTGCGTGCAAGGTTGGAGGCGCGCAACTCTACATTGGCGCCCGAACACTTGTCGAACTGAAATGGCCGAAAATCGGATGGAAGCCGCTGGACAAGACCAAGAAATGGCAAGCCAATTGGAAGGATTTGGATACCTGGTCCAGACTTTGAGAGCGTCAATCAAGCCAAACGTCAATTTCGACGGAAAAAATTCGGTGGCGATATTTCTAGAAGGCCTAGAAAATCACTTTCAGCTCTACCCTGTGCCTGAAAGACAAAAAGTTGCCATCGCCACATCTGCACTAAGAGGACAGGCCGCGCTATGGTGGAAGAATATAGGCAAATTTTTATTAGGGGAATTTGGAAGCCAGACATATACATTTGAAAATTTCAAAAAATCGTTAGTAAAGGCCTTCCCCATAGTGAAAGATCGAGCAAGGCTAGAAGCCGAACTATATAGTTTCTATCAACGGGATATAGAAGAGTTGACGGACTTTATTCTGCGAAAAATTAAGCTGACGGATATGCTGTATGGGAAGAAACCCGACGCGGAGATTATTGAAATAATCTTACCAAGATTGTTACCTGCTGTTCAAGACTACTTCGAAATTAGAAACCCAAGCACATTGCAGGAGCTCTTCGAATTGGCGGTGAAGTTTCAAAATCGCAGAATAGCGGAAAAAGCTAGAGGGGCATCGTATTCTCAAAGTACCCGAAGGCAATCTTCAAATGAGCAAACCAGAAATGCAAACCGCTCTTATGGGGGAAAGAGCTATCAAGCTAACTCATCGAACCTCGAAGGTCAAGGCCCAAAAAGGAAATTCGAAAACAAACATCCGCGTACCCAGAAGGCAGAAGTTGAAAGGAAAGCTTTAAACGAGTAGAGGGGCCTGTGAAAGCGAGGGTCCAGACCCCGGAAGTTTTTAAAAAAACCCTCAAAAAGACATTTAAATACGGTCATCGTAAAAAACTCACATCTACCAATTATACAAGTCCTGGTTGGCGATGTACCAGTAGAAGCCCTCATCGATACAGGAGCAGAAGGAAATTTTATGAGTGAAACATTTCTTCAAAAAGAATTTTTATAGGTTACGATTATTTAAAACCAAAAATACGGAAATTATAGCGGCGCAAGGAAAAACCTGTCACTGCATCGGGAAATTATCATTAAACATACAGGTAAAAGAGGAAAGCCTCAAAGTATTAATTTTTGTAGTGAAAAATCTGCAAAATCCTCTTATTTTAGGTATGGAGTTTTTAAGGGCCGCGAGGGCCAAACTGAATTTTCAAGACAGTTCTATTGTGCTGGAGATGGACCAGAGGGTGGTGGAACCTGTGGAACAACCGCAAGTTGACCTTAGCCATTTGAATGACCATGAAAGTCAAGCCATCCAGCAAGTGGTGAGTAATTTTTCTAACTTGTTTTCAGAAAAGCCTGGTAGTTGTCAAATAGTTACGCATCAGATACAGTTAACTGCCGAAAAACCTTGTAGGACTAAACCATATCGTTATGATAAACAAAAAGACGTAATCATCGAAGAACATATTCAGGAGATGTTAAAGAATAAAATAATAACGCCCATAAATAGTGAGTACGCGAGTCCAGTCGTACTATGTAGGAAAAAGAACGAGTTTCCTCCTTCGGATAAAAGGGCTTGGAGGTTTGCTATCGATTACAGAAAACTAAATAGTATTACTAAATTCCCAGTTTACCCTTTGCCGGTTATAGAGGAAATTATTAGAAAGATCAAATCTAAGATACATGACTACTTTGGACTTAACGTCTGGCTACTATCAAATAGCTATGAGACCCGAAGACATACATAAAACCGCGTTTATAACAAAATCGGGCACTTATGCATTTTTACGCATGCCCTTTGGGTTGTGTGGGGCCCCATCAACATTCCAGAGAGCTATGGACATTGTTCTAAAGCCTGTCCTAGGAAAATCGACTTTAATCTATCTAGATGATATAATTATAACGAGTAGTACGTTGGAACAACACATTAAAGATCTAGAAGAAGTTTTTAAATTATTAAAAGAGGCCGGTCTTACAATTAACGCCTCAAAATGCAAGTTCGCAACTAAAGAACTTAAATATCTCGGTTATAAAATTTCGCAAAAGGGTATAGAAACGCAAGATTCAAAAATAAAAGCAATCAAGAATTTCCCACCGCCCAACACACCGCCAAGAAACTTTCTTCTTTCCTTGGGTTATGTTCTTACTATCGGTCTTTCATAAAAGATTTCGCTAATATTGTTGAACCCTTGTTAGTAAAAGAAAGAAAAGTAAATTACGTGGACAGCAGGGAAGGGAAAGAAGAAGAAGTGTGGGGGGGGGACGAAAACCTGGAAATTGCAGCAGATGCGTCGGACTATGCGGTGGGTGCGGTTCTTATGCAAAATAGCCATCCTCTGGCATTTTTTAGTAAAACGTTGAATCAGACACAAAGGAATTATACAGCTACAGAGAGAGAAACATTAGCCGTATTAATGGCTGTACACAAATTTCGAGTTTATTTCGGCAAAGCGCCAGTAACAGTCTTTTCGGATCATGCGGCTGTTGGTAGACTTTACTCGGGGAAAAACCTAACGCCCAGGTTAATAAGATGGGCTTTAAAACTCCAAGAATATAATCTAATAATAAAATATAAACCGGGTAAGGAAAACAATGTAGCTGACGCACTTTCTCGTATAAAACTGGACGATGAAGGAAATGAACTTAAATGCGCTGTGTTGACTTCAAAAATTTTAGATTCTAGAGATACAATTATCACTGAACTGAAAGCTGATCCTGAATTTGGAAATATCTATGCATATTTGAAAGACCCCGAAAGCTTTGAGCACACAGATATCGATGCGATAAGAAATAGAGCAGAAAACTATGAAATAATAGATAATTTATTATTTTATACGAAAACAACAAACGAAAATCTCGAGTACAAACCAGTCATCCCAGCCTCGCTTCGATTAAGCATTTTGAAGGAATTACACGACGCGAAAACAGCGGGTCATTTAGGGGTCAGAAAGACTTTAAAAAGGGTACGCGAGGCGGTATATTTCCCGCAATTATACAAAATAGTAACTGCGTATGTCAGGTCCTGCAATCAATGTCAGTTAATAAATGATATTAATTACAGCCCGGCCGGGTACTTAAATAGCATTCGCGCTACATTTCCGAATGAAATTTTAGGCATAGATCTTCTTGGTCCCTTCCCCCAGAGCGAGTTAAATAAAAATCGTTTTCTTTTAGTAATTGTAGATCATTTTTCAAAATGGACAGAAATTGTTCCACTTAAACGCGCGTCAGCCAAAACAGTCGCAGATGCATTCTTACACAGATACATTTTAAAATACGGTGCACCGATAAAAGTCATTAGCGATAACGGAAAACAATTCATTAGTCAAATATTTGAAAACATATGCACTGGACTTGGCATACGCCATATCAAAATGGTTCCGTATAGACCACAGGCAAACATAGCAGAAAGAGTTGAATAAAAACATTGTAAAAATAATTCGCAGTTACGTTAGCACACATCACAAGCGCTGGGATGGCTACATAAATGAATTAGCTTATGCTTTAAGAACGGCAAATCACGATACTACGGGAAAAACCCCAGCAGAATTATTTTTTTTAGGCCGAAAGTTAATTACGCCTTTAGATAAATTATTCTTTGTGCAACAAAGAGAGCAAGAGTTTAAACAGAAAGATGTGCAAAAACTTATTGATCAGGCGCTTAAAAGCTCGGATACGGCAAGAAATAAGCAAAAAATATATTACGATAGAAAACGCCGTGAAGCAGATTTTAAAGTTGGGGATAAAGTATTGAAGCGGAAATTTTCTTTATCAAGTGCCCCAGACAATTTTACTGCAAAGTTAGCTTTAGCTCCAAAATTTGAAGGCCCCTATGTAATTCAGGAAATCAAAGGAGTCGTATTGTACCTTAAGAATGAGAGAGGGGAAATCTGTAAAGCAAGTCCCGACCAGG